AGTGAAAGGATCAATGCTATGGCAAAGACAACAACAATCATTGTACTGTAGAAGGATTTCATGGTCTTTGTGCTTACTTGGAGGATGTCTTTCACTTGCCCTATGCTTCTTGCAATGATGAGTTATGGACATTTATACGTGTATATCAACTTTTGGAATATGCATTTTAAATGTTCATGTTGTAAATATCTTGTTGGTTATTTTTTATATATGATTTTATTGTAAGCTTAGACTAAATTTGAAAATTCAATAGGGTATGCAGGCGTGTCATGTGACAAATCTTTGACTAATTCAACAAACAAGTCCCAAAGCTAAATCAGCATAAGATTAGGTTTACATTGATTTTATCTTTCTGGTATGTCACGTGATTTGGAACGTGATTTATTTACAGTTGGTGGGTTGGCAGCTTTGGATTCTACTATTTCAGAGGTTTACAATTGCATTCAACTGATCATTGTTGCTCAAACCAAGGTGATGCAAATGACTTTGGTTTTAAAAGACTGATTAAAAGCTCTTAAAATATTTGCCTCGTAAAATGGAATGATAAGAAAATGCATACTTTGTAAGAACTTCTAACACTTGTCTCTAGAAGAACATGCATATGGTTAACCACCAAGGGCTTACTTATATCGATTTTTTCGTCTCTTATCACAGCCAAGGCACAAATTCAGATTTTAACTTACATATTATTCTATCCAATTAAAATATGTACGTAAAGGAAGAAAATATGTATAATAAATAAATAAGTATTAAATAATATTGATCATGTAAAAGTAAAGTAATAAAATGTAAAACTAGTTCTTAACATTATAATTAAGTAATTAGCTATTATTTCAGTATCTGAAACTATAAGAAAAATATTTTGGTAGTTAACAATGGACTAATATTTGTCACATTTAGAAACTAAATCAATTGATCTAGTAATGTGAATTTTAACAATAAATTTATCAATGATTGTCAATGACTAGATTTTCGTATCTGTAATATAATTGATAATACTAATTTGAAGAGCGAAACTAATGTCTTAGTTAAAAAAAATTGATTGCGCTTGATTAAATTTATAGTCGTTAAGCTCAAGAGATTAGTAGGACAAATTAGTTAAACCACTACAAATTTGAATTATAAAGTGGATTCGTGACTTCTCAGGAGTTTATATATATACTTCAAAGATTATATTTAGAAAACATATCATAGTACCCCAAATATAATTTAATGTCTCATTCTTAGGTAATATTTATCATTTTTAAGTTGTTCTGATTATAAAAAAGTGATTGTTGTTGGCTGAATCAACTAAATCGTACTCTTTATTCTTGTCACACTTGTTCTAAATGTTTTGTGAAAAAAAAATCAATTCATTTAATAGACACCAATTCAACTCAAGTTTCAGTCAATACTAGCTAAAGTGAATACAAAATTATATAGAAAAGTAAGCTAATAACAAATGAAGGACAAGAAGACCTATTGGACATTTACATTTTTTTAAAGAATTTTTCATAAAATATAAAATTAAAATATCTAATTAAATTATCTTATATTATCTTTGTAATTATGTATATTAAATTTTCACATGATTTAAATATTTATAAATATGTTGTAAAAAATTTATTTAATCATATTTTAAAAATATCATACATGTTAAAATAAAGCAACAACAATAAAATATTTATTAGTTTTGTTTTTATATGAAAAGTAATTTATTTAATAAGTTTTTTCAAATTAATATTTAAATTGATTAATCTCTATGAAAAGATGTAAGTATAAGTTTGACTTATAAATTTCTTAATATGAAGTCAAGTACAACTTACAAAAGAAAGAAAATTTCTAAATCAAAAGCACAATACAACTTAAAACAGAAAGCCGTAAAACTTTTAAATAACAGAGAAATTTCTAACACACAGTATATTATCAAAGACTTAAAAAAAACATATAACTACAGAAACAGAAAAAAAAAAAAAAAAACTATAGTGAACCAGGAATCTTGATTAAAAACTAACTGTCTAACAAAATATATTTCTATTTATAATGTAATAAAGAATAAGTGATTTTAAAATTATTCGTTGAGAGTAATAAGAGAACAAAAAAGAAAAAGAAACAATACAGGAATTTAACATGATTCAATATAAAACAATGTAATATTAGCATCTATGCTACATTAAAGAAATAATCTATTGATAAATTAAAGATTTACAAATTAACAGGATTGAACACAACAAAAGAAGAAATGCTCCATAAAAACTACATATGTGAAACTAATTAGAGTAGTTTAATAGTTTTTTCGCTTATAATTATTTTCAATTGTAATAATTTCTTATAAATAACGAATTCACATTTCTTATAGTAAACATATAATATGTATATCCCTTACATTCACATACTTTAATTATTTTGAGTTTTACTGTTAAAACTCATATAAATTAGGAGTTAATTAACTTAATTGTGCAAACCTTAACTTTTTATTTAAACTATACTTTAAATGTTTAATAAAATTAATATCAGTGACAAAACTTAAAATAAAAAATTAACATTTATCATTGATATTGATAATAAATTATTTGTGACATACATTTTTGATATTATAGTAAAAAGCTTAAATTAAGTCACTAATAATAATGATAATAATAATAAAAGATAACAAAAGAGGGGACAGGAAGGTGTGTGCTTTGTGTGTATGCTTTTAGTGAACACGTGACTAGAACCAATTATTTAGTGAAGTTTTATGTATCTTAATCTTGTTCCTTCCATGTTTCTGTTTAAGAAGAGTCTAGAAATGGTAAGCCAATGTTTTTGTGGTTCTGTGCAAGTTGAGAAAATAATCAGAATATTGCTTTAATAGTACCTCATCATAAAGGGATAATTAACGGGGATTATGTTAGAAAAATAAAATTTATAATCATCAAAACTAATAAAATAAATAAAACTAAATTTAACCATATCTACGGAGATTAAAATAATATTAAAGTAATAGAATATCAAGGTAACTTTCTATTCTTTTATCATTATTCCCTCTGAATCGAATACCAAGCAATCTCAAAAATAAAAGGTAAAATAAATCAAGCTAATTATCTCATGAGTTTCTTGAAAAGCCCTAAATCTTCTACTTGGAAATTTTATTTAATAACTTTATTACTGATTGATATTGTTCAAAGCCCCTATAGATTAACCTGTCTACCACCAAATGCCCTTAATTAAGTTTTTTCCTCCATTGATGTAAGAGGATAATTTATTAATTTAATTATTTTTATGAGAGAAACAAAATTTATATAAGTATTAATTTTTGGGGTTTAGGATAAAAAAAATATTTACGATAAGATATTTCGAGATTTGATTGATGGAGAAATGTTACCACGGAGCTACAAACACAATAGGAAAGCAACAAACAATAAAATAAAATTCTCTCAAATTTATAAAATTTAACGAGGAGCACTAATAAAAATAGAACTACAAAATAGCACAAAAGGTAAATAATTGTTAACGTAAAAAATTCATTATTAATAATATTGTTTTATATTTGCTTATGAATCCAAATTCTTCATGATTCCTATTTATTTATAAAGGGCTGAAAATATTTGCTACAATAAATTAATTATATCATAAATTTATAGTTCAAATAGAAAAATTGTGAGAAATTTGTTTATGATATCTTGGATGATATATTGATGAAATTTAAAAAAGAGTATTTATAAATTTTGATGAAATTGAATTTCAATTATTGTTTTTATTCAATTTATATTTTAAATATCCATGATGATTTTTATGATAGAACACTGTCACTGTTTGCAAAGAAATATAACTGTGCTATTGGATAAAAAGGAGCCCTTAAAATTTGTATGTGCTTATGAGGTGAAAGGACCCCAACAATGAATTAACTCCACACAGTCATCTATTTTTTCTTGTTCACTTAAGTTATTATGTCCTCACTCGATGACTCAACTATTATTTTTCTTACAGATTCACTGGTTGTAGGTCTTAGGATTTGAAAATCTACCCCTTATTTGTTCTCCTGGTAAAGGTCTCTGTCATTAGTGAATGCTATTGATATATCACCTGTAATATCTACAGAAAAAAAAAAGTAATCTGATTGATTTCAATTTTTTGTTATGTATTCATTCATAGAGTCTTGATCATTTTTTTGGTTATTATCTTCTTCGTATTTATCAATGACATGTTTATAAGATAGGAATTCTTGATGATGGTTGTGGATGAGACCATATGATTTGAACAGATTATACATTTAAACATGATTTTGGTCAACATTAAGAGAAAAGTCTTTTAAACGTAGTAAATTATGTTATTTCAATATATATAGATAGTAGTATAATGATAATTGTAATATTATTATTATATTATTAATTTCTTTAAAGGCCTTTTGTTTTTAATCTTCTTTAATAGTTCTTATTATAAAGTGGACATTATACAATATAGGCTTTCAGAATAAATAAAATTAGGCTGTTACAAGCTAAAGATCTATATCATAATAAAAATGATAAACTTGAACCTTCAATTATTTTGTTATCAGGGTCATGTCCTATAAAACATAACCTAGCCTACCCCATTTCTATATTTAGTGGCACCTTATGTGCTACTTATTATAGCACATAAGCATTCCCAATAGTGTTAACTAGTAGGAAGGGACCAGTATCCTTATTGAGAATTAATCTCTAATACAAAGGGAATAGAGATATCAAGCAAAATAGAAGAACAAAAAACTTTGATATATCTTTTTCTTAAGAGAAAAAAAAATACTTTTAACATATTTTGGTTAACACTTAACGGCACTGTAATCAACATTAAGAAAATATATGGACTCATCTCATATAACCCAGGCTCTTCACTTACATGAAGAAATGGTGCTATTTTCCCTTCCCTTCCCTCAAGCCAGCATTGCCTAGCTCCTTTAGGCCAAAAAATAAAGCACCGAGATACAGTTCTTAGTGAATGCTGGTAGAGTTTTTTTTTAAGTTAATTCTAATCACATTTTCTTATATTACATCTTCATAGCTTCCTCAATTCTGAATGCAACATTTTGTAGATTGACACTGTCCAAAAACTTCACACTTTTCTTCACCTCAATTGCAAAATTTCTAAATTTTTTCACTCTTGCAATATGTGGACTTTCTGGTTACTGGTTAGTGCATGACCTGTTTGTGCATTAAAAGAGCAGTTAGTATTGCTCTTCTCTTTTTGCTTTGATTAACGAGAAAAGGAAAAGAAACCCATAAACAGATGAAATTAGAAGCTAATATATATTAAGAGGGGGGGAACTTGCCTACATTCTTTTAATTTAGACCTCATTTCTCATAAGCAGTTAAGAGATATATGTACCATGATAAACTTGATTAAATTAAGTTAGTAATGTGAATTTGCCTTGATTTATGAATCATTATCCAATGTCTTATATTTCATAAAAATCAGAATTTGAATAGAAAAACATTGTTCTCCTCCATTTTGGGGTGTAGAAGGTGGAAGGTAGAGGGAAAAAAAATAAAATGAAAGAAAACAACAGAAAGAGATCTGATAAGTGATGTAATGTAAGTTTTTCTACCATTCGCACAAGGACATAATAAAAAATCAATAAACAAAAAGTTTTTATTAGAAATTGTAGCATTTAATATTATTATCAATGTATTAGAATACTAATTGCATGGCATGGGACGAGCTCACATTGGAAATATGAGATTCTATTGTGGGGTTTATAAGAAGGCCCTGGGCTCTTCAACTACAAGGACTAACTTTTGTGATGTGGTTCTCTCAAGGTTCTTATCACTACGCATTTATTTTGCATTATCTTGCTATTTCCAGTAAGAACTTACTAACACGAGTTCTTATTGTGTACCCTTGACACGCATTCAAATAAAAAAAAAGAGAGAGAGACAAGAAAAAGGATTAGATGGAAGAAAGGTGAAAATATTGTGCAAGCACATGAATATCATTGTTGATTTGAATTCCTTAGCAATTTAATTATCTAAGCTGAAAAGAAGCACTTTACAATGGTCAAACAATTTCTCTTGCTATACCATGTAATATTGCCAAGATTCATGCTTCTTTGTTATGATATCATAATAAAAATTTGGCTGTGATTACTTACGAATTTTCAAGAAAAATATGAACTTCTTGTGGATACAAGATCATCAATATTCTGAAAGTTGTAATTGGAAACCTTCTTCTTTTGTCCCCTGCACAGAACCTCAACATCTACCATAAATGTTGCACACACAGGTCGATGGTCGGAAAACTTAAATTCTTTACGGACGTATGAAATTTGATTTATTCCTCTTCCATGCCACAAGATTCTATCACACCTACAATCCTTAATCATTCAGACTTTAATGAAAGAATGTAAGTACAAAATTTGGTCCCAAAAAGATGTTACTTGCGTTGCTTTAGTTCCCAAAAGTTTCTGTTTTATATAAATTTGTCTATAAAGAAATGAACTTGTTAGCAAGTTAACAATTTTGGTAGGATGACTTGTTAGCAAGTTAATAACTTCAAAGAACAATTTGAATTTGATGGAAAGACCAAAGAAATTGAAGTAACATTGTTCAGGGACCAAATTATATATTTTTACTCGGGGAAAATGTCTTAAATTCTTCAAACCGATGCATACCAAGCTGGAGTTCTCCTTTTGTTCTTTGAAACTTTGACACCTTCAACATAGTAAGTGTCTGAGTTGAAGGCATATTTATAAGTAGGTGCAAAGGAGATCTTCCCCTCTTTCCACCCCTTAAATACACGACCTGCTTCCCTCTCCATTTTAAGCTATGAAAATAAGAAAATACACAATGAATAATCAGAAAAGCAACAAAAATTCAGAACAACTCAGTTGAGCAACCGTTAAACTATCATATGATTATTGTTAGGATCCCAATTGTAAGGTATGAGACTTGAGTCCAACATTAGAAGTATGAGATTCTATTGTGGTAATAAGGCCTTAAGCTCTAGCTCCAACTACGATAGCTAGCTTTTGTGTTGTGGTTCTTCTAAGATTCTTATCTATTGGTATAAAAGTCTTCTACCATGTCTCCCACCTAAAAATGAGCAATACAAGATGTGAAACCCGCATTGCAGTATTCCCCTACGACTAGTCAAAGTGACTAGTGCACAGCAAGACTGCATTGGCACTAGGGCTGCAAAGTGTGGTGGGATGTTATGATCCCAATTGCAAGGTATGGGACTTGAGTTCCACATTGGAAGTATGGGATTCTAGTATGAGGTTTATGAGGCCTTGGACTCTTCAATTACAACGGCTGGGCTTTTATGATGTGGTTTCCCACGATTGTTATCAATTATGAACATAGCAGTATAAATATGAATATCTTCCATTTCATGGTTCATAATTTTCTTGGTTTAACTTGAAACTAAGAAAATTAAACACCAAAATTAGCAAAACATTATAGATGCATATTGTCTCTTGGTTGACCATTATGAAAACTAGGATACTCAACATAAATGTAACATTCTTTGGCAAAGATACCAACCTGATCCTTGTTAAATAGAGCAGGCCAGTCCTTCTTTTCAACTAGCCTTTTTGCATCATCATAGCTCAAAGAAATTCTGTAATTCAAGTCCCCAAACCATATGATTCGGCTGGAGAAAATTTTTCTTACATAATCAGAATTTTGGGATCATAGATATTAAATTCTACAAAAAGTTATAAGCAATTGAGAAATCTCTGCATTATAAGTAGTTTCAAATGATGCTCACTCGTGGTCTAAAATTTTGTCAGGCATCCTACTATATGATGTCTTGCAAATCCTTGGAAACTGAGTGTTCTTTAGAATCTCTATGACATCAAGATTCCTGCGCAGCTCGTCACCCTCTTTCTCTCCAGATGCCAAATGACTGCAGATAAAGCAAAAGCTTGTCTGATGAAATGACATGCTCACAGATATGCATCCCTGCAGCCACAAAACAAACATGATGATGTAGATAGTAACTAAAAACTTCTTCAAATGAAAAATCGTTTGCCATTTATACTTTGTATATCTATGCACGTCCATTTAGTGCATGTTTGGTTCAATATATATTGGAGAAATAATCGCTCATTTCATTCTGCTTTCTGAGGAGGTTTTTAAAAAAAAAGCGATTAGTTTTAAAATTTGAGCTGAACCAAACATGATATAAATGAAATAAAATGAAGCTTGTTAAGGATACCTTGTTCCCTAGGCAACCCATGATCCCGCGGCTAGTGCAACAAATTCTCAAATGGCCTACATACTGAACAAGCTCCTTTCTCATCCAGACACATACAAAAATTCCAACCATTTGCTTACTTGCAACAAGACTGTATTTCATCTGGTTAGTAGCCAATGCAACAGGAATTGGGAAACTGTCATCCTCCTCTTCAGTGGAAGAATCATCTGAATTGAAGTTCGATTCTTGGCAGCGAAAACAAAAATCTTTATTAGCAGCTTTTCTTTCCATTTCAAGAACACAGTTACAACTTTTTAGCCTCTTTCCATTTACTTTCTTGAAAGTTTTCTTAATCTTCTTTAAAGAAGGCTTTTGGAAGAACAGTGAGCCGCCAAAGGATGCAGTCGGTTTTAGTTCTTTAGGAGCCAAATCTGAAGGACCATTAAGTGATTGGTTGATTAAGGCAAGCCATTTTGCAGCAGGCTCATTATCCTCTAATACCAGCACATTCCCAGCATTTAAAGGGACAATCTCTTGAAATCTGAAAAAGTGGTGAAAGATTAATGTTGAGAAGAGAAACTATATTTATAAAAAAGAAAAATACAACAATCCATCCAGATAAGAGAGAAATAGGAGGAAGAAAACAAAGAGAGATGTGAGATAGGACAGGAGTCATAGGTGAAGTGATGAAAAGAGAAAAAGAGAAAAAATGTGTCGTATAGTTTTGTTGTATGAATATGATATCTCCATTGAGAATTAGAGTGTGATTGTTCAAGTTTAAAAAAAAAATAAAAAAAACTTTTCATTAAAAATATCTTTTTTGAAATATGTTAACATCTTTATATAAACTTTTTAAAAATTAGAACCTGAAACAGAAATATCAGATTTCAAATCATTTTTTCAAAAAGTTAGAATGAACAGCTTATGAACAAAATCACATTTTTTATAGCTTAAACAAATAGGCCCAAAATTAAAGAAAAAATCTCCAAATAGACTGTTTTCTCTGCTTTCTTTTTTAACAAACCAGATTCAAAGTTCTTTAATGATTCAAGCAGACAACAGCACATGCACCAGACTACATTGACAAAGTCAGCGAGTAAATTTATTTCAAGTGACAGGTCAGAAAAGTCAAAGTTTTGTGAATCCAAAATGATAAAGGGCCATCTCCTTGACAAAATGAGGTAAGGAAGGACAGTTGGTAAAACTCCCATTAAAAGAAGGATATTCTTGACTAAACTTATCCATGGATTAAAATCAGAAGCATAAGAGAGAGAAAGAGAGTGTGTGTATACCCCAAAACATACATATCTGGCTCATTTCGAACCTGAAGAAAATCATTCAGATCAAGGTTCCCAGTGGGGCATTGCCCTCCTACATTCCATGTTGCTGCAAAAACTCTATCAACAGAAACAAGCAAATAACTATGATCTATTAATCTGGCCATAAACATAGTATAGCATGAAGTTATCTTTTAAGAAAACCATCAATTATTCCAATAAATACCTGAAATTTTGGATTTCTTCACTAGAAGACATGGAAGGTTCTGAACCTCGGTTTTCAATGGATGATTCAGAAAGTGCATCTACAAGTAAAATGAGAGATTGATCAAAGTGATCATGCCAATAGGAACTTTGTTTCAGAATGAAGGTGTAGCTGAAACATTTTATGTGAGTTTCTTTTGTTCTTAACATTCTCTGGTAATGAGGCAACTTGCATACACAGTAAAAGTTAAGGGTACACTGTGGATAATAAATAGAAGAGAGATACAATTCATTACTTCGCATCAGCTAAAAGATTAAACTTGAATATATTCTCATAACTTTGGAACAAACCACTAGATGCTCCACCTTATCTCACTGTTTACAAGCCAATGAAGCCATATCAACATCTAATCTCTAGTTTTTACCAATTCTCAAAAAATTCTTGCCAAAAGGGAAAAAAGAAAGATAAATTTTTCCCTACCACTGGTAACACATAGGAACTTATCACTACGAACTAAAGGTATATACTTGCTTCATTTATTTCACAAGCTGAAAACACAAGCATGAATATATTCTTATGAATTACATTAAAAAAAAAACATTGGATGTTCAACCCAACCAATCTGAACTTCCAGTTATCAGTTTGGCCAGCTCATCTCCTTATCTTTACAGTTCAAATGGGATTTTAAAAACGTCGTGCTTATACAGAAGATAGAAGGAAAAAAGGTTAAGTCAGAGGAAAACAAAGAATAAATATTCCATTAAAAAAAGTAGTGATTCTAATAAATATTCTCTCTTCAGTAGGATAGTAGTGATTCCACCTTTTCAGGAAAGCATATTGAAATGGTGATTGATATCAAAAAAATAATAACCAAAAGAAATTAACAATGTCACACATGCTGATCACCCATGATGGAAAAAGATTATTCTAACATTACACTTCTTTTTAGATACATAGTCAGAATATTGTCTAACCTCTACCTCTACTTTGTTGAACCAGTATGAATTTCAAGGAACTCACCAAGGGAATCAACACAACCTCTTTCCATTGCCCTTCCATTTCTCTCTCCCATGGCCAAAACTTTCCACAGAAAAGACTGAAATCATATTCAGAAGAATAATTACAAAAAGATAGAAAAATCAGCCTTTAATCAAGTTTGTGCAATAAACATGACACAACCAGTACAAAGTCAGACACATGACTTTCAGAGATTTCAGAGTTCATTGACAGTGAATAAAAGACACACACAAACACAATAAAATAAAATAAAATAAGTCACACAGTGTTAAAATGAAGACAAGCTAAACAACATATTTAATGAGGAAAAAACCTGCTTTTTTCTCTGCTGATTGCTTGGTATCATATCTGAAACTGGTTCTACTTGTATATCCTCAAATTCGTTGTCCATCTAAATTCCCAATAAAAGGGTAGGGGAGAGAAGACTTGTTTATACATTAGTGCATTCAAAATATTAGATCGCAGGAAATTAATTAATGTACATTAATCGAATTTAGAAAATAAGCATCTTAAAGCATTCAAACCCAAAGAAAACTTCACATATTCAGATTACTTGAAAATGACCCAAATTGGAAAAGGAAGAATTCACAAATGCCCAAAAACTGTTAATAAGTGCTAAACAATGCACCAAATATCAATTCTTAGCTATGAATCCAAATCCAATGTTTCAAAATCACAACAATTTCAACACAAAAATGGCATTCATGAAGGTGCAAATCTCAGTCGTTTAAAAACAGCATTGCTACCGTTGAAAATGGGTTTAAATCCCAAATGTGATTCTTACAAAAGTCAACTCCCCATGCAATGCCCTTCCAGCATCAATTATCATACAGGGTAATTTCAGAGTATAAACTGATAAAGGAAAAAAGAAAGGAACCTGAATAATCCTTGTTATAGAACTGAGAACTCTCACTTTGGTGTGCAAAAACAGAAGGGTCCGAACTTTCTCTTGCAAAGAGTCACAAAACTCAACATATATACCAAACAAGTATTTGATGATTTCCAAAAGGATAGAAGAGGAGACAGAGAAATAGGAATAGGTGCATGTAGGGGGTAGGGTCCTCCTTACTCAATAAATTGGAATGAAAATTCAGAAGAAAAAAAAGAAATAGAAAAGGAGATAAAAGGGAAACAGTCAAAAGGGAGAATGGAATAGAATCTCATGTGCCCCTTCATTCATATATATATATATATATATATATATATATATATAATATATTTGAGGTGTGTGGCAAAGGCTTTGATTCGTCCGTTTGTTCTTTGTTTTTACTCTATTGGAAAACAAAAAAGGGTCCTTTTCAAGAGCCAACAAGAAAAAGCATTTCTTCGAGCTTCAATGCTGAGAATTGTCTTTGAAGTTTGAACCTCGTCCTTTGTACTAGTTTGAACGTTAAGGGTGGAAAGAAAAGAGGTTACTTTCTTGTGTGATCTTAGTCTATAGAGAGAGAAAGTAACCAACCCCACGTGTGTGCCTGCAAATAAAATCACAATAGTTTCCTGTTCTCTGTTTCCTATGAATGTGACACCAAAAGGTATCCTCTGCCTTGTGCTATGGAATGCCCTTTACCCATTTCCATGGATTTTCTATTATATTACAATTTATTATACAAAATGTAAGCTTTTTCATAATAATTTCCTAGAAAATGTGTTTGTTGATGTTATTATTTTCTTGTGTGTGTGTATTTTTCTTTAAATAATTGTTTTATAATAAGATAATCACATAAAGCATAACAATTATATTTCCAATGATTCTAAAAAGTTTTGCATGTAATAAATTTTTAATAACGCAATCAAATTTTTGATACATGATATCAAAAGATAAGAAATACTTCACCTATTTCTTTTCTGTATATTTTTCCTTACAAGCTTGTCTGAACAATCATGCAATGCTTTTATAATTATAAGACATTGTACCAGTTTTTTTGGTTGTTTTGTTTTCAAATTTTGTGCAATAATTTTTTAGTAAACATCAAATTGTCTTTGAATTTGTTATTATTGGTCAATTCAATTCTTGATATTAAGAAAAACATTGATTTGGTCTTTAGAATAATTATTTTAAAATCAAATGGAAGGCTTGCATACATCTGAACATATTCTATGCGTTGATTTAACTTCTATTTCACTTTATTTTTTGTCTAGTCTGATCAAATGCGTCACCATTTTCATTCCTAAACGATGATGAAGTGTATTTTCCAAAGGGGGAAAAAGATAAAGTAATTATGTTTACGTAGTGGATAGATTTTGCCTGAAAAGCATTCTTTTTACTCTCAACAATCATGAGAATAGAAAAATGCATTATTCTTTAAGAAAGAGAAATGGTCATTTTCGGGAAACTTCATCATAACCTTCGTGAAACCAATAATGATTTCTAAGAAGATAATCAAGCGCACCATCGTGCATGGATTCAGATATCCATTTGAATATTTATGAAAAGGTTTGTTTTTAATTAGAATTTAACAGTTTAAATTTGATTAACTAGGAATGCAATACTTAATCACATAATTTTACTAAACTTGTTCAAAGTTTTTTATGATATTTTGATGAAAGATTATTAAAAAATTTATTATTTTTGTATGTTTGATCTTCATAAATATTAAAATTTTCCAATTTCTTGAAAATTAATATAATAATAGAGATTGACTTTAAATAAAACTAAACTTAAAATGCTATAATTAAAAAATTAACTAATTTTAACAATGTGTTTTAATCTTTATGATTTAATTGATCAAAAGAGTCTTGTAAACAAAATCAGAGAAAATAAAAACTAGTTAGGAAAAGAGTGGAAAAGTGGTCCTATAATCTAATTCCACGAAATGAATGAAATAGATGATTTAATTAAGAAATTGTTAATAAGCTCAAAAGCATAGGCAAACAAAGAGGCTCTTCCAAATGGATGAATGGGCAGTCAAAGTCAAGGCCCTGGTCATGAAATGGGCCAATCTCAAGGTAGCTGAATCTGAGCCATGATAATGGAATCTAAAGGAAAGACTGAAAATTGAAACAAGTTATAAAGGTGAAGGGTAGAGTAGAATGGTCCCAAAAGATGATTTTGGTGATAAATTATTGAATTACAAAGTCTCAAACTTTTGTGGTACTAAGGGAGCCTAGAAAAACACCAAAATGGCGGCAGTTTGGTCTTTGAAAAAGGAGATCATTCTCCCCAAAATGAAGGATGACCATTTGCTTTTGAAATGGCATTGTGGGGCTGCTTCACTCCCACTCCACAGACACACTCCTTGGTATCCCTGCTTTCATGCTTCTTAACCCAAACCATTCCACCCCAATTTCAAGTTATCATCACCAATTTTCAAGTCATCTACCTTCCTCTAAGGAATGAGGACAATCAATGCTCCACTGCTCAATGATCCTCTGTCCCATCTTTTTAATGCTACCTCATTCTCAATAATTTTCAATTACTACTAATTATTAAGAGACCTAAGAGTAAAATAAACAAATGCTATTACAACAAGTTTAAAAGTAATATAGTTTTGTATTATCAACAATTGAATTATAGTTATGTGTCTTAAATTTATGCTTTATTACTCTAAGAATATTAATTAAAGAATAAGAAGTAAATTTTTTTATTAAAAATTGTGTTTAATGGCATTAGAATAACAGGGAAGGTGTATTAATTATATATTTATTTTGGTAAAAAATATTCCACTTTTCTGTTCATTAACATATGCTCTTAACATTAAATGGTCAAATTAATATTTTACATAAGATGAATGAATACATCTATTTATATTAGATAAAAAGTGAATATTTCATTAAAATAAATCTCAATATAAATAAAAGTATAAAATTTTTTAATAAGCAATGTACACAAAAATGGATCTATAAATCTTATAATTAGAACAAACAAAATATTAATAGTTATTTTTTATAAATAAGATTGAAGAAAGTAAATTATAGTTCTTATTTAAAAAAATATCTTTTTTATGAAAAGCATATTTTTTAGTGCGCGCACACAGATATAATTTTTTATTATTATAACAATATTTTTATTTTATTAGTTGATAAAAAAATATATATTTCAGTTAACAATCCACAGGTAACAGTATGGATACGAAGATTTGAGTACCTATTCATTAAAGAAGAAAAGGCAAATGTCAAATCGAATATTTATCGAAGAAATAAGACAAAAGTTTAGTGATTTAATAATTTTAGTATACTCTTACCGTAATTTTTAATATACTTTCAAAGTAACTTTTAATAAATATAATGATTTCACAAGACCCAGAAAATATTGATTTTTTTTAAGGTCAGTTTCTAAGAATAATTTGAAATATAAAAATTTTATATTATGTTGATTTTTATTTTCTAATATAATGAATATTTACTTTTCTAACAAAAACTTAGCACTTTTAAATGCTTAAAACTATTCTAAAAATTGATTTTACCATTTAAAAAAATATGTAATTCTTTTAATTATAATTATGATTTTAATTAATAGTATTCGTCATAAATTATTATTAGATAAAATTTATGATACTCTTTATAATTGAAAAAGTTTTATAGTCTTTGTAAAGTATTAGATTAATAGATAATAAAATTAGTAGTTTAGTTTAAAAGATATTAGAAAAATCTCAACCATTAAACTAAAAAAAGTATAAAATACTATGTCAAGTTTTATAAAAAAATACAAATGACATATAATATTAAGGTTTATAAATAATTAGAAGCATTTAAAAATTGAGAGAATGATGAGTTAACAAAACTAGTTTGATGATAATGACGAAACTATAGACAAGTTGTGTGGGTTTTGGCTTGACATGCGGATCATGTTATGAAGATTAATTGAAACATAGAACAGTAACAGTGGCATATGTTTCAGCATTACATCTCAATTATCATATTATAAACTGCTATTTTCTTAGCCACTGTGTGGTTGGTGTGCAGCACTCTCTCAAGATTCTCAGCACTATCCATTCATTTGCCATATGCTTGCCACACCACCATCTCATTATTCAAATAATATAAAGTTGTCATTTGTCAAAATCTCATGTACCCTACAGGTTTCAGTAATATGTGCCACTGTAAATTCATTATTTCAATTCCCATTATTTTTCTCCCTCTGCCAACTTTGCTGAATCTTCATGTTTCAGAACAGATTTTCCTTTTTCAGCCGAAGAGTAACAAAGCTGGTTAGCATGTTGATTATGATAATGGTCAAAATATTATTCTATAAAATATGATCACAGTAGTTAATTTTTATAACATTGGCTTTCATCAACATCTTTACCTTTTAGGACCAAACTCAACATGTCACCACACATATACTGCGGCCAAAATATTGACTAGTTTAGAAAGTGTGTCAGGTAAAATCCAAATTATCATTATTTAGGGATGACAATTGAGACTAATTAACCTATTTGTACTTTGTTATAGGTTAAGCCAAATGGAAGTTGATTTTTGTTTTTTTTTTTTTCATTTTTACATCACTATAATTTTTCTTACAATTTTTTAAATTTATTTTTAATGAAAATTCTGAAAAAATATTTTTAAAATTAAATTGGTTTTAAAAATTATATTTTCACACTTTTAAAAAATTTAAATTAATTAAAAATTATAATTTTGGAAATTAATTTTTGGATTTATTAACTATTTTTAGAAATAAGTTTCTGGAATTAAGGTTTTATATTTTCAAAAAAACTTTCCAGAATTAAGATTTTACACTTCTGAAAATTGTTTCCAAAATTAATGTTTCATATTTCCAAAAATTAATATGGAATTGTTAAATATTTTTGGAATAAAGTTTCCGAAATTAATATTTTACACGTCTGAAAATTAGTTTCCAAAATTAGTTTTTCATACTTTCATAAATTTATTTTTAAAATTAAGATTTTACACTTTCAAAAATTAAAAACTTTTGTCATAAAATCTTATTAATATGCATATCTGCATGATTTTTAACGTATCTTACTGTGATTTTTATAAAAGCCTTCTACTTTTAATCTGTTAACAAATGGATTTAGGATACTAACCAGCAAAAATTTTATTCAAAATTTGTTTAGTAACTTGTACAATACATAGATGTTCTATTTTAAAATAAATATACATATAATCTAATAATTACATAACAAAATTTATATTTTGAAAATTAATTATATATAAAAAAATCATTTTAAACAATAAATTTTAAAAAATGTTTTAACCTAACTTTATAATTATAAATAATATATATCAAAATGATAAAAAATAATATAATTAAATTTAAAATATAATTTATAAATTCGTACAAATTACAAGCTATCACTCATGTTTATTAAATATACACATAAGTTATCAAGTAAAAGAAATATTTTAAGGCATTGTTTGTAAATTTAGAAAAAGACACGAGAACAAAAATGTTAAAAAGGTAAGAGAAAAGATGAGAAGGAAAGAGGAAAAAAAATGTTTAAAAGACGAGGAAAGATAGAAAAAAAAAAAAGAACATGGTTAAAAAAAACTCTCAATTTAAACAAAATTAAAAATATGAACTTATGAAAATTTTAGAAAATTTATAAACAATTTTTTCTCATTTAAATATTTTTGAACAAATATTATTATCAAATAAGTATTTTTATTTATTTATTTATTTTTCTTCCAAAAATTAACTCTCGAATTAAACTTAAAAAATTAATTTTAATTTCACTATCTTTAAGAAATTTATTTACACTATAATAAACTAAATTATAACACTTGATAGGTTGAAAAAAATTATTAGAATTTTTAAAAATAAAAGAATTGACAACTCGATTTATTTAAGGTACTTTTAAAGAAAAATTTTTGACCTTATATTACTTAACGCATGACACTTTAACTAAAGCATTAAATTTGTTAAAATGAAACACTATGATATCATTACTCTAAAAGGTAATGTATTTATCTACATAAAATGTCCAGCTTTGCCACACGTAGTTGCCATGTGATTGTATTTTCCCGCCAAAGACATTCATGTAATTCTTTTACGAGATATAGTCATAGATATTTTGATTTGAGCAATTTTTTTTGTTTTTTATGAGAAATATAAGGGACTGATTCTAGTACTTAATTAAAAAAAATTTAAATACAAAAATTTAAAATAGTTATTCCACTAGAAACATATCAAATATTTTTAATAAAATATTACTATTATGAGTTACTAAAACTCAATTCTAAAAGCTAAAATTTCCATGATTCTATTTTGTATATGTACCAAAAGAAATAAAATAAAGATAATTATATATAATGTCATCTATAAATCTTTTGATGTTCAAATGATATAATTTAATCTAGAAGGCAAAAATAAGGTTGTAGAAAATATAACAAGTTTATGTCTATGGTTGGAATTTTAATATATTAACCATTTAAAAGTTTTAAGAGAAATAACTTTAATTAATATCCACTTGCTAGAACCCTCCTAACCAGAGGAACTCAACACGTGCAATACCCAAGATCTATCAACTGCCTAACACAGAATCATACACTAGATACAAAATCCATTTGAAGCAGCAAGAAGTTAAATACTCTAACAATGAACATTAGTGACTGCATCTTGTAACAACGTTGTCCATGACTTCCTATCCTAGGACTAAACAAAATATACTGAACAATTACAGACATTGACAAAATTCCAAAGCAAATAATACATGCACTATGACTCCACTGCCATCATAGACACTGAGTCAGGCTCATGACCATGAACTCTCAAGCGATATATACATGTGTGTGAAGGGCTTCCATGGTTGGATGTAAAATCGAACCTTACTGTGTCGATAACACCAGCAGCCGCCGAATTCATCACGTTGAATGTTTGAGCATTGCTCTTCTCAAGGTCATACGTAAATTCTGTTAGAAGATACATCTTCTCAGTATCAATTAGAGAATCAGTATTACGCCCCTGTAGCCAACCAGAGATCCTGCAGTCTTTGGGAGCACTTGATCTATCATATGCAACACTCTGTTGACAAGGAAAAATATCAGTACTAAAAACTAACAATCTTAAAAGAAATGGTGAAAGAATGAATAAAGAGAACGTGACAGAAAACACTTGGACCAGAGGCATCACGATAAAATCATGCTTATATGTAAAAAGAAGTCCATCGCAAAGAAAGTACAAAGTGGAATTCGGCAAGAAATGACAAGTTCAAATCATTTAATAATGGGAAGTTTCTCAAATGCTGTGTTATATTATCCACCTTGAAAGCGGCGAAGTTTCTCAACTTTTATGTGTAATTCTATTCCCCCCTTGATCCAATTAGTACAGTTAAGAAATGACAAGGTATGCTACACTACCATCTATTGATCAATCTTAAAATATTAATAGGCCAAATAAAAGCAAAAGATCAAAAATAAGAATCATAATACACAAATATTTCTTTAATCAACTTCTCAAAGTAATTAAAAAAGACAAAAAAAGTAGCTCAATCATATATCTACAAAAGCATAAAGGAAACTGTAAACAAAGCATAAAGATAATTATGAAATGATTAAATAAAAACAATATATACACAGAAAAACTGTAGAGAACACTTGTATTGAAGCAATGAGAAAATATGCCAAAATACATAAGCAACCATATCATACAAATACCACTATCAGTTAAACATACATTAGATATAGAGCCATCTCAGCATATCAGGGCATCAAGTCATAGCTTCCATAATAATTCTATGATAATGAAATTCATCCCTATGGACCCCATTCAAGACAAAAACCCCTCTAGCAATTTAACACAATAATTGCTCATCTAAGCCTCTTTGAAAATATAATAACTTAACATCCAACACTGACTAATTCACCAAGGAAATATATTATATATGCATTACACAATATGATTCTAGTAAACTTACGAACATTTGAAAGCATGAGCAAATACTACTAAACTTAACCATGACCTCGCTGATACATATAGGTATCAATGGATTTCGTTAATCACGCTACATGGAAGCATTTATATTTATCTTAGAAGACAAAAGTTCACATATTTATCAACATAAGCCACCCTCTCCAGATAATCAGAGAAAAGGTTTGAAAACAAGTCACACATCTCTAATAAGTGAGGAGTCCTCTCTTATCTTTGTATTTCATAAGAAAAAATTATTGTTCATATAAACATAGGAAATATTATAGTTTGATCTTCAAATTATTTTAATTTCTAGTGACACATGTCAATATGAATTAGATTCAATGGACTCCAAACTCTGTTATATGTATCACTGAGTGATTAAAAAAGTCTCATTTGATAAATCCAATCAAAGAAAAGGTCAAGATGGCATATCAAGTACAACGTATATTTACAACACTATATAGGAGATATGAGCCACAAAATTAAATTTAGACAGTTGAATCCACTTGACCACAAACAATTAAAAAAATACATCATAAAGTGAATACCTTCTACGCAAAAATATACAGGACTGACATACAACATATAGTGGCTCAATATCATGAACATACAGCAAAATATAGCAAGAAGACCAAACAACCACCACACTATACTATCAAAGGAAAAACTACACAAGTAAAATTAATCATGATCTATCCCTTGACATGCATAATTCTTTCAACTGAGAGATAAAAACAATAGACTTCATGCTCTCATGAAAAGAAATGGCACTTTAATTGTTTCTCGTCATATGTGTGATTTGAAATTCCAGCATATGAACATCAACCACTAAGAATCAGAATTCATCAAATTTAGTAGCCCAATATTGAAAACAAAAAACTGTATCTTATACAAACAACATTGTTAGCCACTCAAAAGCCAAAACATATCAATAAACCATTAGTATCTATTTGATATATTAGGATCCTACATAATACTTCCTCCAGTCCTATTTATAAGAAATGACACCAATATTTTTTTGGTCGTAAATACAAAAAACAAAGACCCTTTATCAAATATATTAATCATAAGTTCTTTTTTATATCTTTATATATTGTCAAATTTGTGTTAACAAGGTTTCCACCTTTATCTATGAAAGTGGATACATTCATTCATTTAATATATGACATACATGGAACAGAACATAATTTTATGACATTTAACTAATTTTTATTTGTCTTGGTGAATTAGGTATTTGTTTCATATAAATAGGACCAGAGGTAGTATAAACTTAATTCAAGGAAGATTATCACAAATATGCACAATCAAATGGCCAACAACAAAATCTCAACCACTTATGGAAGTAAAGAACACATCAGTACAACATACTAACTGATTGGCATGAGCAGTGAGCACAACAATATTTAGGGTCAAAATGAAAATTCATCACCTTTGCTACATGCTCCAAGGTGACAGCCTCAGGAATGATGGCAGTGCGCAACCTAATCTGAACAAACCCGCTAGTATCCTTCAAGGGGAAACACTGCCCCGGCTCACCAAAACTCGGTTTCAACATCTTATCAGCACTGGGGTGGACACCATTTCTAGCAGACTTCAAGAACCAATTGCCCCTCCCCACATCATAAACCTCTGAATGCTTCACAACCGTGGCACCGCCACTGCCAAGAGCATAATCCACCCTCCCAAGCCCATCAGCAGCATGCTTCTCAATCTCCTTCTCAATCACCCCTCTCGCAAATTCCCTTATCTCATCCAATCCACCACCCTCAAACCCACTCCCCTTCACATTCCTCAATTTCTCAACGAACTTCTCAAACTCTTCCTTTGTCAACCAATCCTCTCCCTTCAACTCATCCATATACCTCTCCAATTCCTCATTCCTTGCCTCCAATTTCTTCAACTCATTTTCCAAGATTGCACCTTTCTCATCAATTCTTTCGTTCAGTTCCTTCCTCAACCCTCTAACCTCACCCTCAATCTTCTTATCCACCACATCAACTTGCACCTGAATCATCTTCGCCGTCTTCTTCAACAGACCCTCCACGTCTGAAATCCGGCCCTCAAATTCGGACAACCCAGCAAATCCCCCTGCCGCGGCGTCGCCGGATTTCAACGCCAGCCTCCGAATCAGATGAACCAACCCAGCGAGCACCACCAAGAGCACCAAATTCTTCCCCAAAATGCTCAGCACCGTGACCCACCGTGGCTTCTCAGCCTTCGGAACTGGCTTCCGCGATCGCCGTGGCGGAATCGACGCCGAGTTTCCACCGGCACCGGTGATCTTCTTTGCCGGAACCAATTCTCGAGAGGTTCTCTCGAGGAGTGCCTCGCCGCGGATTGAATGGTGGCTGAGATCTCGGGCGTTTCCGGCGGATGGTGCGCCGGGGTCGCCGGCGCCAGAGGTTGCGACAGCCGGAGAAAGAGCAACGTCGTTGGCGAGGAGCTCGATGTTGGTGGCGGTTTTTTTCTCGGCGGCGATGACAGGTCTCCGACGCGCCCCCGGGTTCGCCGCCGTGATGGACACCATGGAAGCCGACATCGGAATCGTCGAAAACCGCTTCTCAATTCAAACACCGAATTTAGAAATTAAAAAAAATGAAAAAAGAAAAATTAAGTGAAAAGAAAATGATGAAATTGTCGAAAACCCTAATAATGTTTGGCGGTGAATGAAGAATAAAAGAGCAAAAATAGAGAGAGAGTGTGTGTGTGTGTTTTTCAGTGATTCGTGGTTTTATGAGATCTGAAGAGAAACCAAATGAAGATGAAGGGATTTGAATTATTTGAATTTTTTTTTTTTTTCCTTTTTTACATTTGCTGGGGAGGGAGAAATTTGAAGCGGGATAAACGACGTGCCTTCACAGAGCGTGGAATGGGCTTTTTGGGCTTTCACTTTCACTGGGCTTAAAGCTTCTCTCTGTTAACTCATCCTTACAAATTTTTAACTAAAATTCATCTCCACTGTTGACAAAAACAAGTTTCGTAGGACTTGTTTTTTCTCTCTTTAAATTTAGTTTTTTATTTTTAAAAACAAAAAATATAAAAACAATTTTTTATTTTCAGTTTTTAAAAATGAAAAACAGAATTACTATTCAAATATTTTTATTTTTATTTTTTTGTTTTTATTTCTAGAACTAATAAAAGTATAACTAAAAACAGTTTTAAAAACTAAATTATCAAACTAATTTTATTTTTCATAAAAATATTTTATAAAATGTTTTTAAAATTTAATTTTTAAAAATTAAAAATCAAAACTAAATCAAACTTGTCCTACATCTTTTCAATTTATATTTTCTATTTTAAACTAATTATTAACGTAACGTATGGAACTACCGTTTGTTGACTTAACACTAGTCGTTGATTAGATATTTCGTTTAACACTTGTCAACGATATTTGATTTGGTTAGCAGCAATGCAAGTGTTTATGTTGATGTAACTTTTTTAATTAAAAAATGATGGTTCAAGGAAATCTCTTCTACTTTCATCGATCTTTCTTTAGCCTTTCATCACATGTTGATTAAATTTTTAACATTATATTTTAAACCTTTCATTTTTTTTTTATAGTAAGGTCTTACTACTTTGATAATTTCTATTGAGTCTAAATTGACAACTAGACCATACAAAGTACAGAAACAAATTCTAGTGATTTCTTTTAAAATCTAAAATCTTTTTTTGTATTGACAACTTTTATTGTTACTAAAACTAATTTTCATCCAACAATAATCTTAATCCATATATCAAATCAAATGTTCTGTTATTGTGCAATGACTGGTAACATATATAACACACATTTTCATGCTGAAGCTCTAAATGCACAGTGATGTAGTGATTAATTAACCTCTTCCATATAGAGCAGGGAATGCATGCCAAACAAAGTACCTTTGACTAATATTGTAATGATCTCCTCTTGCAAGAATGCATGCACAGGGATTCCGACTCTTATATACATCTTCTCATCAATGGATGGCAATAAATAAGAAAACATGACTTTATCAGTGCAAATGAGCATGAGCTTCTCATTGCATTCCAAACAATAATGAAGAACATTTATGTAACACCACAATGCACCAAGCAAAGCTGTGAAGATTATTATAGCTATCAAATTCTTGATGGCTTTATGTGATAAAAAAAAACACAAATGTTATTGATTTCTTTAAGGATAAGCTGATCTGAAAATACAACTGCATGCCTTAAGGATGTCAAATTATCTATAACATGATAGTGCACATATTCAGACACCCTCCAACTATTTTCAAATATGTACAGCTCTCAACTATAAATTGTGGGTATATAAGATCCAATGAAAAAGGCTATATAAGAAATATGAGAAAGGGAAACATTATTACAACGTACCAAAAAGTGATGGTTCAAGCAAGTAGGCTCACTAGGCCATAGTGGGACTATGGGTGCAGCAGCTTGTAATCCCTCCACTGTTAGGAGCCAGAGGTGATCGCTGCTCTGTGAAGCCAGCCTCACGCTGTACCCTCTCTAGTCTAAGACTCGTGAAACCTATGCCTTCGCTTAGGCTACATGAGCCAACTCTCAACTTAGAGCGGGCAAGCCAGCATGTTGCAGCCCCAGCCCAACCCAGCAAAGCCTTCGAGCTGTTCCACCACTTTCATGCCCTCACTTGAGTCACAAGCTGGCGCAACCCAACTCGGCATACTGGCAACCTTGTCAGACCAATTTTAAAGACATTGTGGTTTTCTGTTCTGGCCAATGTGGTACTTCACAATGTGAAAAAGAGATTGCTGTTTTGCACGAATGAAGTCGGAGGGCTCATGCCCTTGTGGAAGAAAAGAAAGGATAATGCAATTAATCCGGGAAACACAGATTGTAATTTGTACTTTTGGTTTACATAGAAAGTGATTAGATGTTTGTGTCAGTGACTTGGAATGTAAAACCACACACATTGAAATGGTGCCTCTATATTCAACAGTAACGTTAAATAAATTTGGCAAACTGAGTAGTCTTAACATGCTAATGAATAGAGGTTGATAATATATTGTTGTCCTCATCAGGGACAAAGCCAAGTTATATCATAACAAGTTTATTAAATGATATGAACAATTTGAATAAAAAAAAGCAAAAAAGGTGATGGTCCTGCACAGTCTGGACAGTGGTGCGAGCAAAGCCTGTTACTTTAACTAGTACCCTTCCACTAGTGTGAAGAGGGCATACATACGACATCCAGAATAAAGCACCCGCTGCTCTGATAAGCCAGCGTGTAAAGACGAGAGGATACATAGAGCTTTACAATGTGCCTCTGGGCTTTTTTTTGTGTTTCTACAGAGGCAAACGACAGAGCCGTGGCCTAACTACAGTAGACAAGCTCACCTCAGTGCACCACAGTCCAATAACCGATAGCTCCTCGGCTGCATTTCCATCACCTTAATGCCCCCTCTCGGGTCACAAGCTAGCGCTACCTAACTCAGCAAATTGTCCATTTTTTTTGTCATGTGTATATATAGACTTTTTCTTATATGCACTGTCTGATGTGGGGCAATGTGTCAGTTATTTCGCCTAAGAAGCCGTGGATAGCTCCATTAATGTGGGGAAGATAAAGTTTGTGAAAAGATAACAGGTGCTTGAAGAATATGATTGCAATTCATATCTTGATATCCTTAACTTTTATGATGTGCTTTGGTGGTGAAATTCTCACGTCCAGGAGTCTTGTTATAATGGTTCTTCCAATCATTGGCTAAAATGTTCAGAAGATTCACATATGGCATGGTTTTTGCTTCGTTTCTCTGTCACTTGTCCCTCGTTTTTATGTGGTTTTAAAATGGATTTTCTTCGTTTTCGGATTCTACTTTTAATTTAATGGCTTTTATCATTAAAGTTTGAGATTACATCAAAATAAGTGCTCAAATAGGTTTAAGTAAATGTGCTTGCACTACACAAATCAATCATCGTTGTTATATGTTGCTTGCGGAGTGCAGATTCTTGCGTACACTGCTTGCTCTTTTGATGTAATTTAACATTCTAAAACTAAACATCATTTTACTAAAGATTACGTAAAAAGATGTATTTAATATACAATACGTTTAGGGTATATGTATTTATTAACCCATTTGTTGAAGATAGATTCACATTTATAAGAGATAATCATGTGTGCTTTCAATAAATAGTATGTTGATTAAACTTTTAGATCAGGGGTCATTTATAGACTTATAGCAAGACATAATATGTTAAATCATACTGCATGATAAATAATTCAAATTTAAAATACAAAAAATTTTGTGTAGTTTTTTTTTTCTGTTCTGATCAAATTGCCTCCCTTTGTGTGCAGATCTATTTCCATTTTTTCTGTTTGGTAATGCATTTTTATCAATTGAAGAGATAAAACGATAACCAAAAGTGATGAAAAAGATTTAGAAAGTGAAAAAACAAATAGAGATTTTAATAAAAGAGAAGAATTCTGACCATAAAGATAGATGATTTAGAAAAAATGAAAGCAAAAAGATGATGGTGCAAGGACACTGGACCAGATAAGAATGATTCCATTACTTCCACTTGGGTCACAAGCTAGGTCACTTAGTTCGGCAAGGCTCTTGATTCGTTAGAGATATATAAACACTAATATATTAATTGAATCGTCCAACGTGAGACTTGTTTCTATGCTAATTTAAGTTATTTTAACTTTTAATATAGCAAATTTTCTTGTGTGCTATTTTTATCAGCATGCAATATTCAAGTGTGATAACAATAATTCAATATAAAGTTATCACTTAATAATAATTTAATTTAGAGATTTGAAAAAAAATTATAAAATATAGTTATAAAAAATAAAAATAAAAAGATAAGTTACCAAATTATATAAAAGTACAACATAATTACAAATTTTAAAAAAATATAAGAACTTCAATAAAAGTTTTTAAATTGCGTAATCAATTGATGTAAAATATTAGTTTCAATTGATGTAACAAGTAAATTTTGCATTAAATATTTGAATTTGAATTTTTTTTAATTTGCAAAAGCGGTGCAAATATTTGTTAGATGATATAATCACTTGTTTTGTCTCTCATCTCACAATGAAAATTGCATACACAATAAGTAGTTAATATATATAAATTTTAATGCCTAAATTCAAAGAATTTATTCTTTAAGATTCTCTCTCTTATTTTTTACAAATACCAAAAATTTATTTACAATAGTATTATTATAAGTATTGAATTTAATTTAATTTATTTTTGTTTTACGATATAATATAGTTTGTATAACTTTTATTTTTAAACATTTGTATTGGTAGTTTTAAAAGTAAATAATAGATGACTTTTTAAAAAATAAAAAGCAAAACAATGATGGTTCGAGGACATAGGATCTTGGACCTTTCTCGGCTATAATCCAATATTTCTCTCCATATTTAGTATATTAACCTTATTTTGTGCATAAGTAGATTGATTTAGATCATTTTTGCTTTTTGAGTTTTGGTTAGTCTTTAATTCAATTATTTCAGCATAACATATATTCTAACATTAATTAGTATTTGAGTTATAAATTAGGTTATAAATCTCATTTTAATGTATTTTTATTTTGCAGGAAAGTTAAGATATGTGCCTACAACTCTTATAAAATAATTAGAGGTTGAATCCTAGCAACTAGAGGTAAAATTGGGCCTAAACTAGAAGAGAAAGAAGACAAACACAAATCTTAACCAATGTGCAGTATTTGGATCACATCTTAGTCTACAAATATCCAATTGGACTCATTCTAGTCGTATTTGAAAGCTAACATTTAGGCCTTTTATTCATATTCAAATCACAAAGCCAAACAAATACAAATTTTAGATCAAAATAAATGAGCAAGTTACAAATTTGTTTTAGGAGATTAGGTGGTGACCATTTAGGATATCTCTTTCCTTAAATTATGATATCTTTAAATTTTAAACTTGGTGTAATTTTTTATAAAATTACTTATCATTAGAATTAAAATTTTTATTATCTTCTACTTTAAATTTTGAACTTATTCAAAGGAGAGGGGAAACATAAACAGACACGTTGATATATTTAAATTTTCTTCCTTTTCTTTTTTCGTCTTCTTTCCTATTATCCAAACTTTAATTTTTTGTGCTCATCCACCTATGGAAGAGTAATCTTCGTAATATAATTTAAGGATTAAGAAAGCATAAGACTTTTGAGAATTAGTTTGTAATATTTGTTCTCAATTTAGAGTTTTCTCCTCTAATCTATATAATTTTATGAACCAAAGGTATTCGTTCTAATTCCAATAGAAAAATAATTGATTCATTGTTATTTATTTTAGAATTAATTAAGTGGTGCAAAAAATTAATACATTTGGATTAAATTCTAGAGGTTTCTGAATTTAGTTGATTTTGTATTAATCAAATGCATGAATGTTTCCATGTAATCACTTAGTTTAGATTGATGTTTCATTCAAGTTTTAACCCCTTGAATTAGAATATTATCAATTATTTATTCAAAGATTGAGTGTTGTTACTTTCTTTTTTATTCTTGAATTAGGTATTTATTTTATTAAATTCTTTCATTCTAAATTCTAATTTGATAAATTACTTTGATAATGATTCTTGAAAAACAACTTTGATAGCTTGCCTTGTGCTATAATATTTAGGTATTTATTATTTTGAACTCAGTACGCCTGTGAATAAAATTAGCACCATTGTTAAGATCATTAAATTAGGATAAAATTAATAGATTAGTTCAAATTTAAATTTAAATTTTTAAAATTAAATTATAATTAAGATTTGATTTGATTAGATTGTATTAGGTATATTAGTTTAAATTAGGTTAATAAAAAATATCTTCAAATTTAAAATTTAAATTTCAAAAATTTTTAAAAAATAAAATTAAAATAATAATAATAAATTCAATTTTTTTTATTGTATTCTGTATTATATTTTTCTTTACATATTTTTATTATTTGATTTATATAAAATTTGTTTGTTTCCTCAGGTACTATTTAATCATGTATAAAATGGAAGAATCTAGAGACTTTCATTATTCCTTTCATATTAGTCCACAAAGTACTCTTATATTGAATGCTAAGCATTGTCATGCTTTAATAACAACATGATCCTACTAATTGCTAAGTATAACTTTTTTTTGTTGCTCTGCTTTTTATCAAATCTTTTTTATTACGATCAAAATATTTCTATAATTTATAGTAATGAATTTATGTTAAATTATAACAATTAATAAAAAAATCAATATAAAATTCTTATTAAGTAACGATTAAATATGTGAAAATAAGGTATAAAAGCGCACGAAATTATAAAGTCATTAGTTTTCATGAATAACTGCCACTACGTGGTTGGAATGCAATTTGACGTTGAAAGCTTGGAGCTCTGCCCGACAATTGTTGACTAGGAAATAATTATAAGAATTAATTATTACTTTGACAGTGACAAATGTGTAAATAGTAAACTCTGTTACTGCTTTCTCTATATATTGCTTTCATAACTTGTGTGGGACACATGATATAGCAGTTGATAAATTGGAGAGCATGTGAGAGCTTAACGTCTAATACCACATACGTTGTTCACCCTTTGGCCTGAAAAAAAAAATCATAAAAATGTGATGGTTCAAGCAAGTAGGCTCACCAGGCCATAGTGGACTATGGGTGCAGCAGCTTGTAATCCCTCCACTGTTGGGAGCCAGAGGTGGTCGCTGCTCTGTGAAACCAGCCTCACGCTGTGCCCTCCAGTCCAAGACTCATGAAACCTTTGCCTTCGCTTAAGCTGCATGAGTCAACTCTCAACTTGGAGCGGGCAACCCAGCAAAGCCTTTGAGCTGTTCCATCACTTTTAGGCCCTCACTCGAGTCACAAGCTGGCGTAACACAACTCGGCATGCTAGTAACCTTGTCAGAGGTTTTATAAAGACTCTGTGGTTTTCTGTTCTGACTAATGTGGGACTTCCAAATAAGAAAGTTTGCAGCGCTGCCTGACAATATCAGAGGGCTTATGCCTTCTTTTTTTCTGGAAGGACGTAACCCATATTACATAATTGAACAATTAAAGTTTTAATTGAGAATAGTATCAATGAAATTTTCTTTTTTACATTAAAAATATATAATGAGCTTGATTGAATTGGGCTTCTGAAGCCCCCAACAATTAGTGAAAGACTCATATAAGTCATTTTCTAGGCAATTGTTTCTTGCACCACTCTATTATATCATTTCTGGAATTTTCATTCTAGAGTATATTTAATACTTTTCCAGAATTAAATTTTTGGAAATCATGTAAAAAGGGCAGTGTGATTAGCATAATAAGGTATTACGAAAAGCAATTTCTCTTCATAAAAAAATTTGAAATTTCTCATGTTATAATGTACAGACGGTTAGATGCCATGGAACTAACATACTTCACCTTAAATTTCTATTGCTGTTTGCTAAAAAGGTTTATACTAAATTGGATTCAAGTTTTACAAGTTTTTTAATTATTTAGTTCTTGCTCATCATCTTTTTGTGTGTATTGTTGTATAGACATTTGAATACTGTGAAATATGGAGAGAGCATAAACCTGAAGTAGCGTCTATATATATATATATATATAAACATATTTGAATCCTTATTGCTCACTAAAGCAACTTTTATGTAATTATTTATAAATTTAAATGAAAAAGAAAGGACGAGTTTCTGTATTTTTCACCGCTGTAATAACGGAAATGGATAACCGAAGAAAGGAGTTGTTAAGGTTATAGTGGTGAAAAGGATATTTTTTGTCAAACTAGCATCGTATTCGTATTAGCCTAATATACAAATTTAGTATACACCAAATATATCCAAAGTTTGTCATTATCCAAAAGACTTTATCATACGATTCTCCCAGATACCCTGTAAACTACCTTTTAATTACTGTTAATTGCACTTTACTTTTGCTTTAATGAAATATAATACAGGAGGAGTGAGCACAAAGGAATTTCCCTCCTTTAAACATTAAAACCTTGTACTTCACTAGAATAGTTCCTATCTAAATAGAAACACGGCCTAAAAATTGACAGCATAACTAATTGAATTTGACCATTGAAATTGATAAACGGATACTGTCATTCCACTAACATAATCCACAAATGGAATTTCCTATTACACAACCTTCAAGTTTCAAAAATAATGGTGGAATTAAGACATGGTGCAAACTCAGTAAATTGGCCAGTGTTTCCTTTGTTTCAAGCAAACACTTCTTACATTATACTTCAAAGCCAGAAGTGAACTCCAAGACTATCATTACTTGCATTTCTTGCAACCCTAAGACACATATTAGCACAAATCCAATAAGATTAGCAACTTAATTGTGTGTTCTTATTTGTATATATAAATTGAAGAGGATAATTTATTCTTTCAGCCTAATAAGGTGCAAGAAATAGTAACCAAGTGGAGAGATTCAAGATGAAATCCTTTGCTAACCTTTTCTTAATGTTATTTGTGGCCTTGACTACCAAAATCCGAGTTTGCATGGCAGACTGTGATAATCTTCAGGATACTTGTCCAGCAGTTCCACCCAATAAGCAGACCATATTCATCAATGGTCTACAATGCAAAAACCCAGCTAATGTAACAGCTCAAGATTTCAGGAGCACAGAACTAAGCAAAGCTGGCTCTAGAGACATTTTTGGTGCATCCATAAAAATTGTCACTGCTGCTGATTTTAGTGGCCTGAATACTCTAGGCCTTTCAATTGGAAGAACTGACATTGAAGAGAATGGCTTGGTAAACTTCCACTATCATCCTAGAGCTACTGAGATGATCTTTGTTACCAAAGGTGTATTATTAGTTGGATTTGTTGATACCAAAAATGAGTTTTTCCAAAGGTATCTCAAAGTTGGTGATGTTTTTGTTTTCCCCAAGGCTTTGTTCCACTTCTGTCTTAATTTTGGTTTTGAAGAAGCCACTATCTTCTCAGTGTTCAACAGCCAAAATCCTGGGTTTGTATCCCTTAGTCCTACAACTTTTGACACAACATTGGAATCATTAGACAAGTTAAAGAGTAGACTCATCTCACGTTCTGCTTCTGAAGCTCAAGATGTTACCAGTTTCATCTCTCCAGAATTGGAAAGCATTTTCAGTTAGTCATTTCAAACTATTATCTATTTATTGACTTCTAAATATTTTTAGTTCAATACATGTAACCGCGTGCATTGAATAAATGAAAATAGTTTTAAATTTTGTTTTATATTGAGCTTTACTTCAAGTTACATTATGTATGGTATATTACTAACTTACCAAAAAGATTATGAATGGCTAAAAATATCTTTAGGAATAATTTTCTTTTACTTTATACAGAAGTTCTACTTGATTTTATTAATGAACAAACAAGAGGAAATTTCATAGATCCAAAAACAACTAAAAATCTTGAGTCCGAATGATCTAAGGAAGTAGAATGGAAGAACAAAACAGATGAAACATTTTGAGTGTTCTCTTTTGTTTCAAATGTACCATGAGGTTTAGCCTCTTTATACCCATTGACCCCTTTTTGTTATCAACTAAGCATGACTGAAGTTTTTACAACAGTTGCTAGAACATTTTAACACCTTGCTACATAATACTGGTAAATACAAACACTTTGTCAAATTGGATTAGATTGTCACTATAGAGCATGGGACATCAATAAATTCCCATTAAACAACTAATTCCCTTCTCACATTTCAGCTTCTCGGAGGTACACTAATTGAGATGGTAATGGTATTTAAAAGCACAAAAAACGGGGCAATATTTGAACTTGCTTGCAGCATGCTATCTGATGGTCTGTTACTGCTTGGAAACTCAATTTAAATCACATATGCCACCATTACTAGGTTCCTTCGGATCTCTTCCGACTAATGCCTTTGGTTTTAAACAAATTGTTCAGATCCTATAAGTACTTCTTCCACTAATATATCCAAGGCTGTAAAACCAGGCTGGTTTTAAGCATTAAAAGAGGTTCCTTATATTAATGCAATCAAGGAAAATTCTCTCGCATAATGATAAGTAACGTACACAATGATATAAAATGTTTAAGAGGATTTTCATTAGTTTTCTTCAACATCACAACACAGATGGATTATATAATGCCAATTATAGTCTCGAGTTGACTCCCCCAACAGGAGCAAGGAGGAATACAATGGGAATTCAGGATGAGGTAGGGATCAATAATTAGGGGGTTAAATAGTGTAAGAAGACAACATATAGTATCCATTCAACTATTAAGTATTAATGCAAATAACTAGAATTCATTATTTCTACTCCACATTCATGTTAGTCACTTAAAAGGCACAGACTGAACCCAGAACGGTCAAAGCTATGTGCATTGCAATCAATCTCAAAACAGAGGACAACTGAAAACATGATCAACAAGAAGATAGATACGAATAGATCAATCCTGTTGCAATTTGAACTTCTAAGACAAGTCAAGCAAAAACTGTTTTCTGCACCACTCCTTTTCAAAAGTTGCACCACCCTTAAATTTTTTTGTATGTTTTATTCTAAAAATGACTTTATGCATAACAAAACGTTTAAACTCTAAAATGTAATTTCAATATCTTCAGAAATTTCATTTCTAGAACACATTCAAAACGCTCTTAACATTTCATAGCAAGAATTCAATGGAGATGTTAATAAAGCAGTCAAATTGTTTCCTTTTTTCAAGTACAGCAAGGTATTCCTGGATCATATTGGTTTCCGCTGTTACTGTGAAGATCGCCGATGCAAAACAAATGAATTGAGCTCAAAACTCTCACTAATTGAAGTATATATCTTCCAACTTATTTCAAGTAATATGTCAATAATTAGTATATGTACATAAAAGTAAATCAAGGAACAAGAATAATCAGCCAAAATTGAAAGATAAGAACATTCCATGAATGATATATCCCCTGCAGTGAACTAAAAGGACTTCAAATTTTGAAGATGGAGATGGTACAATGTAAGAAAAATTAAATAAATAATAAATACTTATGCTAGAATATGACTATGACAATAAAGGGAAAATGATGAAAATTGAAACGTTAGAGAATGGCTCCCAATGTTCAAGCAAAATTGAACATTACACCATTTCAGGTGATGGCCTAAAAGTACGGCCAGGTTTAAAAGCTGAACAAAACATATGCACCAGAATTGCTTGTTTCCTCCATTTTGTCTCCAACTACCAACCATGCTCATATAATAACAGCAATAACTGTTCTGTGATCAGATAGCATGTGTGCTGACCATTGGTTGATGCTGCAACTTCAAAGATATGAAGCAAAAGAATTATAAAGCCAGAAATTCTGAAGTTAGAGAATTTTTTAAATGAAATGGAGTTGCATTGATCAGAGTATCCCAGATGAAACTTCATAACTACAATCCAAATTGGTCATCTTAACCGTGACAATCTTTTCCTTTTCCGATTCTTCTTATGCACTGCAACACTTTTTGTGTTACTGTTACCATGAGGAAGAGCCAAAGTTGACGATGGTTTGCCAATGTAGGTTCTGCCTTTCTTAGAGACCCATTTCAGAGGCATATTGTTAACTACAGTCCCAATATCAGCAGAATTATTCAGTTCAACTAGCTTTTGGATTTGATCTAGCATCTGATGGGTCCAAGCCAAAGATAGATCCAACGCAAATGAATCATCCATTGGCTTTCTCCATAGGTCCATCAAAACCTCTTCAAATGACCGAAAAGACATGGATGGTTGATAACCCTGAAGCTTTTCACAAACCATGTTTACTTTGATGACATGCTTGCAAATGTTACCTTGCATTGACCAAGAACAATCACAGAAAGCAAATTCAGATCCTGGATTCCACACTAGATGAGTTAAGCTACTATCTTTCTGGCTCACAACTTTGGCAAAGAGGTGGTCTTTCTCATCCAAGGTAACAGCCGAGTTGGGAATTTGAAGTGCTCGATGCCATGATGTAGAAGCAATATATTTCTCCTTCACATTCTGGAAAGAATCACTTTCATCAGCATAGCGGTCAAGCCAGTAGCTTGAATGCAACTCAGTTGTTAACTTGTGGACTAACCAATCTACTCTTTGCAGCGCTCCAAGATGTGAATCATCAAAAAGTTTGGCTTTCAGCTTAACATGATACGCTTCTAATGCTCCAGAAGCTTCCTGACTTGCTAGTGGAAAATTTCTCATTGTTGAAAGCCACATTTCTGCGGAACAGAGAAAAAGGAAGGGAAAGAAGAGAGTAAGTTATGTATCAATGATTGAGCAACTAAGCCCATAATTCTGAAACAAAATGTTAAAAAAGATTCATGCAATGCATGTCAATGCACCTTCAGTCAAACTGGTTATTTTAAGTTCATGCAAGAGAGTAAAGGAGAAAGATCTAACCAAGCTTGGGCACCCAGGAGACTTTGAAATATTCCATGAAAGCGGATTGGTCAACAAAATCCAGCATGAATTGTTCCAAGGCAACTGATGTATTAAGACCTCCCCAAATGCTGTACACTATAGTCCCAAGACGCTTAAAAATCTCTCGCTGAACCTCAATATTACTGCATTTCTTAACAACATTCCTAAGCCATGATCTACGAACACGCCACAGTGAAAATAGGACAGGACAGCAAAATATATCTCTGTAAAAACAATAGAAGAAAATCAAACACCACTATAGATTTTTAAATCCAACTCATTTCTACAGCAATAAATCTTGCCTCAAAATATCAATTTCAGCTGCAGCATCATCAATTAAAAATCCACTGACTTTCCATCCAGGTTCAACACTACGAGCTCGATCAATTAAAGCTTTCAGCCACTTAGACACATCGAGCTTTGCAAAGCTACGTGTAATGACCCATGCAACAGGAAGTGCATGTTGTCTTGAATCAAAAACAAGTATTGTGAACAAGGGATACTGCCAATATGAAAAGATAACTAAGTTAGGTTGATCGAAAATATATTGCAATGTGAAGAGGATAACTGTATTTCTTTTAGCTCTAACATAAAAAAGTGATGATTGGAAAACAATTACTTTAAGTCTCTTCACGCCAAACGTTGAGTCTGCCGCAACAACACTTCGATGACCAAAACGAACCATTTGCTGCAGCTGCCATTCTGTTTGGATCCCCAAGATGAAAGGGTCTGACTCAGAGGTATCCTGATGAAAAAAGACAGACTTTCTATTGCGTTCAACCCACATGCGGATGCTAGCTTGATCATCTAGATCCAGTTCATGGGTAGACCTTTTGATAATCATACCTAGCTTGTGAACATACTGAGAAGCAAGGCTATTGACTTTTGCATCTGAGCCACAATATCTCTGAATTCCTTCAATGTGTTTCTCCAAGATATTCTCTTCCGGAATGCCCAGATAAATCATGGACATTGTTTGCTGCTGAATTTCATTGCATATATAGGGAATTTTTTTGGCACCTGGGCCAATGGCATCTCTATCAAGTGGTCCATGGCAGACAAAACCAGACTTGTTAATATGACGCCTCTCATTGTATATAATAAGCGCAAGTGATGGACGGGCATAAAGACGTTTAACAACAAAATGACAAGTACAACCCCGCATCGATTGAGGTCTAGCAGCCCGATTTCGAGTATTAAGTCGATACCTGCGACTAGGTAATATACCTCCGCCTTCCCCATAATTTTCAGGGCCAAATGAGCACCAGTACCTTCTCAAATAAAAAAATCAACTTGACAACATAAGTATTGGAATCCTAATTGTCCAGATCAATACTTAAGTTTGAAATTAATCATTTGCTAGTCTTCTGTTGATTCCAAACTCCAGACAGCAACAGGAAAATGGTTTGAACTTATGATCACCTTTAACATTTGGAAACTTCACAACAATCGATTTTATACAAGGGAAGCATGATTTCACACTTCCAAATTCCAATGGTCACCAGATAAAATTAAAAGAAAAAAAGAGATACAACAAAATTAGAGAAAAACCAAGCAAATGTTACAGAAAACTCTGACAATCATCTAATCACAATAACCACAAGAGGAAAAAAAAATGTAAAACAAAGCATGCTTGATCATAAATTAATAATCATTTTAACAGAAGGCTCTGTTAATTTCAAAGTTACAAAACTAATTTTTGCACTTTTTAATTAAAAACAACACACCTCATCATACATATGTTGCACGGGTACAGGTACGAGTAATGAATACAATACAATATGAAAATACGAAAAAATTATAAAATATTAGGATATGGGTACGGCAATACATTAAAACTAAAATATACTTGTATTTATGTATGCAGACTGAATATTGTGTGAGAAATTTGATCAAATCACAGTCAAATAGAAATTTTATGAAAAAAAAAATCCCTAAAAGTTAAGGAAATATTCCAATAAATTATACAAAATATAAAAAACTATCACTAATAATTAAAAATAGTAGCGGATACCCCTAGGATACGAATGCAAGCATATTGTAAGTCGTGCATCAGAATGGTTCAAAATCAATTCTACGTAACCTTAAATGAAACAAGAAAGAAGGTTGACAGGCATGGATGAAACTTACAGCCTGTACTCCAGATACTCATCATCCTTGTACTCCTTCAAGCTACCAATAGTTCTTTTCCTTCCCCTCTCAATATGAAACCGAGTTGGGCACTCCACATTAGAGCATTCACCAATTATAAAAGCATCAACTCTGTCATAGGGAATAAGGGCAACTTCATCATGGTGCTCATCATTGCCAAACTTGGTCCAAGTCAAGTCAGCAGCACAAAACTCCTCTCCAGGTGGATCTTGCAAAGGAATCTTCCCCACTGATTCAACAATATCCATCTCCACAACAAACAAAGCCAAACTTCCCTTGCTATATACACCAGAATATACAAGTCCCCCCACCACCCCCAGAAACAATCACAAGTTCATAAAACACAAAATTGCTCAAGCACACAATAGAACACCCTGAAACAACATCCACAAAAGACCCTTTTGAGATAAATAGTTAAAGACTTTATTTTGATGAGTTTTATGTGTTGTGTAACAACAGCTAAGCAATTCAATCAAAAGAAAGAACAGAGAAAAAACATAAACAGCTGAAGGCAAGTTCAGTAGTGAGAATCGAAGGACATACCCCTCTCGGTTGAATATTCAGAAGAAGATGAATTCGTGTGTTGAAGTGAAAGAGAATAGTGGCGCAACGTGAAGAGGATTTTGGAGAAGCGAGGGGTGGTTTGGGATGAAATGGGTCGGCTGAGAAACTGAGCAATTACAACGAGAGGATATAGCAAAAACGACATCGTATCACTATTTTAATTTGCAATAATATTTTTATGCTTGATATTTTTATGTTTAAATTTATTTAATCTTTTTTGTTATCTTTCCGCTTTTTTGTTACACATTTTATCATATATTTTATTTTATTTTTTCACTTTATTCTTCATTTTATTTATTTCTTTATTTCTTTTCACTCCACATTTGGACACCTAAAACACATTAATGGAATTATTTAAAAATGAAATGACATACTAAGTTTGTGAATACTCAAAACTTCTTGATGCACTACAAGTGCATGCTATACAAGTGTTGGCACAACTTTGCTTATAAGGAAAAAACTAATCCCAAGAGATTTTGAGTTTTGTTCAGTATTGACTTACTAAATCTTTACTTTGAGTAAAGCTTGTGAGTTCGTTTTTGAGTTGAAATATAGGAAACTCATTTTTCTCTTGAATTCGATTATTGAGATATTGTCGAATTTTGTAAGTTAAAGTTGAGTACATAATGCTAGCAATAATCCCTAAGTATTCTGGAATAATAAATAAGTTATTAGTTTTTCATATAACTATAGTAATAAAGTTAAATTTTAGAGTTTTTATCCTTCAACTTTAAGGTAAACATTAATTTCATATTCTAATTTTGTTTTTATTTGTCTTAAAAAAAATTAACCTTTTGCTACTATATATAAAATTTATTTTATTCTATAGATTTTTTATTTCATTTTTCTTCTACACGTTTTCTTTTTTCTTTTCATCATCAATTTTTTATTCCTTTCCTTCCTTCTTTCTTTCTTTTTTTCAGAAAAACGATAAATTTTAACGAAATTTTTTTCTAGGATAGTTCTTTTTAAAAATATTTTCATATAATTTATGTAGTTAATTGAAGAAAAAAATTATTTTTATTTTATTTGCTAACTCTCTTTATAGTTTTTTTTATAACATGTTTTTATAAAATCTCTTCTACTTTTTATTTTAAATAATTTTTATTAAAAATTATATCATATTTATTTAAATAATTATATAATATGATCTCTTATTATAAAACTTAAAATGTGCATATGCATACTGCTTGACAGGAATAATATTTGGCCCAATTTGAATATGGAGTTATAATCATTATAAAATTGCAAATAGGATAAAAATATTTTTGGTTGTTTCCATATTTTTACGATTTATGACATTTATATGATATTTATTTATTTTTTATTAAAATTATAAGTATAAAAAATATTTCAATAAAACCATGAACTGTATTAATATTTAAGAAAAAATATGTACTTAACTTCCTATTTAATATTTCCTATACAACTTACTTTTATTTTATAAAAAACATAATTTTTAAAAGTGCAACATGACTAATAAAACAACTTCGTCAGCATATCATATTACATTTAACGGATCATGTTGTAATTTTTGTGAGTTAATTAATAAATTTTAGATAAGGGATTAGAATGACAAAATAAACTACACATTCATAGACTAATATTTTTTTTTTTTCAAGCACTAAATTGAAGGATTTATAATATTTCAAGAACGAACAAAAAAATAAATAATAGACCACACATGCAAAGACTTGGTCTAACGATTTAATCAACACACTATTTATTGAAAGCACACGAGTATCTCATATAAATGTCAATCTATCTTCAACAAATGAATTGATAAGATTAGTATCAATGTATTATATATTAAACACATCTTTTTTACGTAATCTTTAATAAAATGATGATTGATTTGGGTAGTGCAAGCATTTACTCAAACCCATTTGAGTACTCGTTTTGATGTAATCTCAAACTTAAATAAGAAAAGCCATTAAATTAAAAGTCGAATCCGAAAACGAAGAAAATCCATTTTAAAGCCCCATAAAAAAGAGAGACAAGTGACAGAGAAACGAAGCAAAAACCACGTCATATGTATATGTTCTGAACATTCAGCCAATGATTGGAAGAACCATTATTACAAGACTCTTGGACGTGAGAATTTCACCACCAAAGCACATCATAAAAGTTAAAGACATCAAGATATGAATTGCAATCATATTCTTCAAGCACCTGTTATCTCTTCACAAACTTTATCTTCCCCCCATTAATGGAGCTATCCATGGCTTCTAAGGCGAAATAACTGACACATTGCCCCACATCAGGCAGTTCAGAAAAGAAAAAGTCTATATATACCCATGACAAAGTAGACGGCCGGCCGAGTTAGGTAGCGCTAGCTTGTGACCCAAGAGGGGGCATTAAGGTGATGGAACTGCAGCCGAGGAACTATCGGTCATTGGACTGTGGTGCAGTGTGGTAGAGCTTGTCTACTGGAGTTAGGCCACGGCTATGTCGTTTGCCTTTGTAAAATATTAAAAAAAAAGCCCAGAAGCACATTGTAAAGCTGTATCCTCTAGTCTTTACAGGGTAGGGTTTCCGCTCACGCTGGCTTATCAGAGCAGCGGTGCTTGATTCTGGATGTTGTAAGCCTCTCACACTTGTGGGAGGACGTAAGGTAAGGTATAGTAACAGCAGACTTTGCTGGCACCACTTCACCTAATGCAAGGACCATCACCTTTTGCATTTTTGGACAGCAATATATTAATCATTAGCATGTTAAGACTACCCAGCTAAGTCACTGAGACAAACATCTAATCACTTTCTATCTAAACCAAAAGTACAAATTACAATCCTTTGTCCTTCCCAAATTGATTGCATTGTCCTTTCTTTTTTTCCACAAGGCATGAGCCCTCCGACTTCATTCGTGCAAACAGCAATCTCTTTTTCACATTGTAAAGTCCCACATTGGCCGCAACAGAAAATCTCCATGTCTTTAAAGTCCCTCTGACAAGGTTGCCAGCATACCGAGTTGGGTTACGCCAGCTTGTGACTCAAGTGAGGGCTTCAAAGTTATGGGACAGCTCAAAGGCTTTGCTGGGTTGGATTTATGGCTGCAACATGCTGGCTTGCCCGCTCCAAGTTGAGAGTTAGCTCGTGGAACTTAGGCGAAGGCATAGGTTTCCTGAGTCTTAGACTAGAGGGTACAGCGTGAGGCTGGTTTCACAGAGCAGCGACCACCTCCGGCTCCCAACAGTGGAGGGATTACAAGCTGCTGCACCAACAATCCACCATGGCGTCCTTTCGTTACTTGAAGTACAGCATTGATCATGGATTGCACTTCACTAAATACTCTACTCAATCCGTTACTGCATTTTGTGATGCTAACTGGGTAGGTGACAGAGGTAACTTCAAAGCGACAAGAGCCTACATAATATATCTTGGGCCAAAATCCACAATCTTTTATCAATTATCAAAAATTCAATTAGACCTTCAATCTTTTAAGGATCTACTTTTGCTCTAACAATCTATCCCTTTTTAACGATGATAAACTTTGTCTACTTCGATGAATGCGTAAAAGACAGAAATTTATTCAATAATCAAATTATTTGACTTACAACACTTATCAAGTAATTATACCTTAGTAAGGTATCAAAGAAAAGTAAAAAATTTTATAATATGAACATCAAAGATACATTTATCGTATTTCTCCATATTTAATGATCAAAAGTAGAAAATACCCACCCCTTCAACACATGTCAAAGTAAAAAAGAAATGTCATCATTATTTATGACAACTATAAAGTGATTTTAACAAGTTATCATATTTTGAAATGATGAACTACTTGTTTAAAATTTTTTTATTATTTTATATGTTTAATTTTGAATAGACTTTACAGACCTAATTCTAGATCGTAACAATAAAAGCATTTGTGCAACATAAATCTATATTAATTATAAAATATTTTTAAAAAATCACAAAAAATATTCAAATAAAAAATATGATTAGAATATATTTTAACACTAATGCAACGTAGATCTATATTAATATTATAAAATATTAAATAAACTAAAAAAAAAAAAAACTAAAAAGCTAAAAGTTCAGAACAAAAGTACACAACCTAATATATATTATAATATCAGAGGAGTGAGGAGTGCAGCAGAAGAAAATCTCACTCCAAATCCGTCAAAAGAGTGAGCAATGTTGGCAAGAATCTGCACTCACGTATAGGCATTTAGCAACGATGAACGACTTGTGTAGTGCAAGAAGAGACACATATCAGAAGAGCAAGAATCTGCATTTTGCAAACAACATATCAGAAGAGAAACAGAGTTTGATCCGCAAGTAGAACACAGAATGATAAACGAAATATATACTGCCATCGAAAAATAAACGAAAACAAATGGAAAGGCAAAAATCAAAGAAAAAAATAGAAAGTTGGAAAGGTTTATTGTCTATATACATTCTTAGTTCCTTTTCTTTTTTCAAAAGACGCCATTGTTTAGCAGCAAGATTCTGAAAATTTGAATCACAATCGTTCTAGTCTTTTTCAGTGTGGATCCAAATCCTCTGATGTTACCGTGAAAATTGAACCGTTCATTTCAAATTCACTTATGTTTGTTTAAGCGAATTTGAAACTGGACATTAATAATTCGCTAATGAATCTTGCTTTATATGAAATTTACCCTTTTGTTCACACTGCAAAGCCTTCTTCCATGGACGATTGGATTATTTTTAAGAATAAAAAATCTAGAGAGCATTTGCATGGGTGACAAGAGCATTTACTCAAACCCATTTGAGAACTTATTTTGATCTAATCTCAAATTTAAATAATAAAAGCCATTAAATTAAAAGTCGACTCCGAAAACAAAGAAAAGTTAATTGTTATGGTACCTATATAAATTTTGAAAGAATATTCTATAGCTTTTAGATTAATTATTGTGATTTCTTTAATATTAGAAGATATTAGCATATTTTTTTTTATCTAAACTATTAATTCCATTATATGTTAATATAAAGTTAACTATCAATATTATTTCAAAAGATATATTAAATCCTTTCAATTACAAAATACTGTAAATTTTATAATTTTACAAGTATTAGTCATATAAAAATTACCTACACTCCTTCTTTCTTGCAATTTTTACAAAATTTCATGCAAGACTTTGAGATTTTTTATGTGATTAAATTCATTTAAGAAAATTTATTAAATTACCCTTGAATTTAGCATTCAGTTTCAATTTTCTTAGTTTTAGCATATTATCTCATGCTTTTCTCTTATAAAATAAAGTCCACGGGTCGGTGATGATTAGTATCAATACATAATCTTTAATAAAATGATGGTTACTTTTAGAATATTGAATTACATTTTTAAAAAAATTATATTACTCTAGAATTATCACAAAAGAGAGATATATTATGGTCATATTTTATCCATAGTAATTGAGAACAGCATTTTGCAATAGATATGTATATTTCACTAAAAATATCATTATAAACACTTTTAATCATATATTAAATATATTATAAATTTTGATAAAATCCTAAAATCAAAATTTATCATATTTATTATCAATTTCATTTAAAATATTTAATATTTCTAATAAAATCACAGAACCATACTTTTATCTTAACTATTAAATTCAAATGTGTCACTTTTTTTATATTTTATTTCCATTGTATATAATAATTTTTCAAATACATTTTCATATGAAAATTAATTTCTGAAAAATTAAATTTACCCTTGCTGCCAGCTTATAATGTAACACAAGAAAATTTATTATATTAAAAGTTCAAACAATATAGCCTCACGTATACACAAGTTTTACATTAGACAATTCAATCAATATGTTAGAGTTTATATAATAGCTCACACACCCAAGTTTTATGTAACGTAACACAATGCCACAATGTCTCGCATAGTGTCTCGCAAGCTGTCATGTCAGAGCAGTGTGTGCATACTTTCAAGAGTATTGAATTTATAGCCATTGATTAGCAAATCTGTGACGACTCGTTCTCCTCTTTCCTAATTTTAGTTTTTATACTTTTTCAGTATAAACTTATGTTAAATACCTTATAATTCAAACAATATATAAAAACTTATATACAATAAAAATGTTTAAAATAAATATACAAACCATATTATATCGTAAAATAAACAAAATTCATTGCTTATAATAATATTATTATAAATAAATGTTAGTATTTGTAAAAAATAAGAGTGAATATTAAAGAATAGTTATAACACCTTAAATTTAATTTTTAATAAATAAATTTTGAAAGAAAAATAAAAATAATAATTTTTTTTATTAAAGTGGTTCTTAGTGTATATGTTCAAATAAATATTTTAAAATAAGAATGATTTATAAGTTTGTATCAATAATTGTTATAGGACTTAACTAATACATCAAATTTTTAAAATAAATTTCTAAGTCTTATAATAGTTTCATCCATCTTTCACTGAGTCTAGTGCTGATGATCATTTTGTTCACCTGAAAAATAAAATTAAGGGTGAATACTCTACACTATCCAACATACACATAACATAGAGACTCACCTTACACATCCTCATGTATTTTAACATATTCTACTCAAGTATAGACAATCATAGGCAACACTTTCAAGCATTCCATTTCAATTCATAATCGATGCATTCACAACACCAAAACATTTTCATATATGTGCACTCACTATGGCACTATGATCACAGTTTCACACTATGGATGGTCGCCAGTTACCCTCGTATCACGGATACCACATGTGCAGTTATGAGTCGCTCGACAAAGGTATTGGTCAGAGGTCTAGTCAGAAGGAGAATGTGTGGCCTGTGGTGCACCCACGCTCACTGTTGGTGTCATCATTACTCTCTCTTCCCCAAGGTATTTCTACCGTCTCCATCTTCCACACCTCTAGTGTATCGCTGAACCATTCATAGCATATTCACAATTGCATTTTACATGCCTCATTCACACACATTTCAATTACACATAATATTCATATTCGTACATGGCATACAGACCTACATTCATTCAAATATTTCAGATAAGTGATTTTCATTAAAAATTAATTTTATCTTTTCCTATCACATGTTAATATCGTGTATTATTCATTGTCTTCTTCCCCATATTTTCATATATTGTTCATCATCTTTTTTTTTTAAGTTTCAACTTTCTCCCACATTTCATTTTCTTCTTCCTTATCTTTTCTCTTTTTTTTCATACATATACCTAATATGTCTCGTCTTTAACATCTTAATTTATATTCAAACTTTCTACAAGTCAATATGAATGGAGAACTCACAATTGAGTTTTCCTTACCTTTTAGCCCCTTTAATAAGCACAGAATAAGTATAATCAAAATTCATTGTCAATCAATTTGGTATAAACTTGTTCAATTGATTGTGTTTACAGAGACAAAAAAACAAAACAAAAATTAAATAGCAAGTGTATATTAAGTTTTACCAAAAAAAAAAGGGAGAAAAGAAAAAAAAAAGAAAAAAGTAGAGGAAAAAGTTAAAATTTAGAGGTAGAAAAAAATAAATAATGTATAAAGACTTGTATAATGTGTGATAGAAAAAGATGATGTAATATTTTGAAGAGAAATAATTTATTTAAAACATTGTTAAAAGTTAAAAGCTTAAAATAAATCAAAATAAAATTTAAAAATAAAATAAAATAAAATTTGATCTTTAAATTAAAAGGTAAAAATATTAATTTTGACTAAATTTATATTTTATTTATTTATTTATTTTTATCATATTATATAAATATACAATGTAGTATTTACTTTCTCTATCCTTTTAATTCTATAAAATTTCTTATGTACTTATATGTTATATTGTAAGCTAACAAAACTTTTTTTTTTTTAAAAAATATGTTTAATTAACAAATTTTTTAAAAAATTAAAAATATATAAATCTCATTACTCAAATTTGAAAATTTTAAATAAAAATAAAAAATTATAAAATTTAAATTTTATTATTTAAAGTATATATATATGGGACAAGATTATGTAAGTCTAAAATTTTTTATACTCAATCTAAGCATTTTATTTAACTTAAATCTAACGAGTTATAATTTATTAGTTTAATGGTCTTTAGATTTAAGTTAAATAAAATACTTAAATTAAGTGTAAGAGTTTTTACTTATACTAGTATAAAAAGATTCTTTTCTTATATATATATATATTGTTGCAAATGTCACAACATTAATTTGTGAAGCTTATATCAAAAATTATAAAATTCAAGTTTTGTTATTTAGAGCATGTATATTTTATTTTAAAGTAATTTTCTGTTTTTTAAATATGATTTAATATAAATTTATATTATATTTTATTAAAAGAAAAATAAATATTCACAAAATACTTTATTTTTAATATAAAAAACTATTTTTAGAAAAGAAATAAACATATCCTCGTTAGAGTTGCAAAACACTTTTTATTTATTTATTGTTTTTACAAATGTCTCAACATTAACTTGTGTTTTAAAAAGCTTGAGTCATAGAATTGCAAAAATTTTTTTTGAAAAAATTTCATGTTCTGTTGAACTTTTTTTAATGAATTTGATTTGTTTATGTATTTTAGGTTTGACCGAATAAGTATTTAAATTCTATTTTGAATGTTACATATATTTATTTTACGTTAACCGAGGAAGACAAGATAAGTATTAAATGTAAGTACTACGAAACTTGAATTTTGTAATTTTTTATTTAAATTAATTTAAATAATGAGACTTGTATTTTTAATTATTATTATTATTATTTTATTATATACATGTAACTTTTTTATAAAAAAAAAGGAGAGAAACTTAATAAATGACTGTCAGCAACACATTTTATTTAATGTATTTTTAATTATTTACTAAAATTATAAAAATATTAAAAAATATTTTAATTTTTATAATTTTTAATTAATAAAAAATTGTACTAGCATTACTCTTAATAATTAATAATTAAGAACGTTAAAAATTAAAAAATTGTGCTAACTTGTGCATAGCATCGTTCATTTCTTTAAGCACAAAAATTGAGCAATTGACATTTGGTCAGCTTTTCACTCTCTTCTCCCACATCTCCTTGTTCTCTCTCACGAACGCACTTTGGATTTTCTACAAACAAAAAAGTTGTACTCCCCAACACTCTGTTGAAAGCTTTTGCAAAGCTTGTTCTGATTTTGACTCCAAAACTCGCACTTTCAGATCGATGTCCTCCGACCCACAAAGGTTTTTTTATGCAATTTTATTCCTTACAACACACTCTTTCTTGTATATGATGTTTTCCCTTTCAAATTCTGAATTTTGATCAATGCATGTTAGAAACAAATACTGAGTCTGTGGTGGGTTTGATCTCACCTCCTGTTTTCGTTTTGGAGATACTTTTAGAATTTTTCATTTTGTGTTTCAATAGTGACACTGAATTGTTTGCATGCAAATGGGTGTTCTCTCTGGTTATTTATTGAAAAAATTGGTCTTGAATTCTGGTGTTTCGATAATGGGGTTTTGGGTTTTAACGGAAATTTAATTTCCGTAACCGTGCTTTTGAGCTTGCATGCAAGGGATCAAAGTTCTAATAACCCTTTTATCTGGAAAGAAATGAAAAAAATAATGTTCTTTTTGTTTTGTTTATTTTTTTTCTCTAAGAAAGGTACCTGTAAGGTTTCTATTTTCATTTGCATAAAAATTAAAGATTTATCAGTGAGTTGTTAGTCTGACATTTTAACTAGGTTTTATTTGCATGCCCTCCTAGAATCTGTTCTGTGTTTCAATTTCGAAGTTGATTTTATTTTTTCTCTTGGTCTTCATTTTTTTCTTTCAATTTATTTTGTGTGTTGGGTAAAACATACCAAAAATTAAACTGTCACTGTTTTCTTATTTTCAAGGTTTCATTTTCTAAAGGAAATGAAATGTCTCCTGCTGCTAAATTACAAGATCTCTCGTTTTTCTGATTGGACTGGTTTGAAATTTTCATTATATACTTCAAATTATTTTCCTCATAGGAAATTGCAACTTTGCTCACTACATGTGTACATGATATTGAGTTTGACAAAAATGTTTGAAATTCTCTCCCTCTCTTCAATTGACTGTTTCCTTTTGTGTGTTGGAATGTGAACTAGGCTTGTTGATTAGTGTAGATCCTGGAAGCTTTTGGGCTATCTCAACAAAAATGGCAATTATGAATTCTCTATTTGTCTGCTTCTGATTTTTCAGGAAAGGATTGAAGATTTGGATAAGTTGCTTTTGTACTCTAAAAGGGTTGAGTATAAGATGTGAAGTGAATTGTTAACAGTGATACTTGGTAAATGGGGATCCAGACTATGGGATCTCAGGGTGGTGGAGATAGTAATGGAAAACTGTCACAATTTCAGCCTCTGGTGCGGCAAAACTCAATGTACAGTCTCACACTCGATGAGGTTCAGAATCAGTTAGGTGATTTAGGGAAGCCACTTAGTAGCATGAACCTTGATGAGCTTCTAAAAAATGTATGGACCGTTGAGGCTAGCCAGTCCATTGATGTGGACAATGACGGCACAGCACACACTAGTCAAGCTGCACTGCAGCGTCAGGCTAGTCTGTCATTAACTGGTGCACTAAGCAAGAAGACTGTAGATGAGGTTTGGAGAGATATCCAACAAAACAAAACCAATGAGGAGAAGAAGTTCCGAGACAGACAACCTACTTTGGGAGAAATGACATTGGAGGACTTTTTGGTGAAAGCAGGTGTTATTTCAGAAGCATCATCTAATAGAAAGAATATTGGTACTATAGCTGGGGTCAATTCGAACATCGCAGCACCACAGTTTCCTGCGCAAGGTCAGTGGATACAGTATCCACAAGCACAATATCAGCATCCACAACAGAGTTTAATGGGGATATACATGCCTAGCCAGGGTTTGGCACAGCCATTACACATGGGTGCTGGTGCTTCGTTGGATGTTTCATTTGCTGATAGTCAAGTGGCATTGCCTTCACCTCTGATGGGAGCGGTGTCAGATGCACAGACACCTGGAAGAAAAAGAAGCACTCCGGAGGACATGATGGAGAAGACTGTTGAGAGGAGGCAGAAAAGGATGATCAAGAATCGGGAATCTGCTGCTCGTTCAAGGGCAAGGAAACAGGTGATCTTTCTCTTTCTTTATTTTGAGTGATGAGGTATCTAAGTCGTCAATTTTTAGTTAGGTTTTTCCTTAGTGAAAACACTCTGAATGATAAATATTATAAGCAGGCTTACACAAATGAACTGGAGAATAAAGTTTCGCGTCTAGAAGAGGAAAATGAAAGGCTGAGGAAACGAAAGGTTAAATTGTTCTGGTTTAATTGCTTTTAAGTGTTTTTAGCTGTTAATTTAAATTCCTGAATATACCTTCTTTCTTCAGATTAAGTTGTTTCCCCTTTTGCAGGGTATATTTTTAAAATAAGATAGGTTCTTTTATTATATTAATTTTTTGCTTGCAACGGAGACAAGAATTTTTGCATATTATGGTTTTTTTAGTCAAGACCAGAATTAACAAGTAGTAAGAAACTTTTTCTGATCATGGTTCCCCAAATTTGTGGTGCATACTTGTGCTCACAATTCAAAGTCCTGTGCAGTAGATAGATTTGTTTCTTATGTGGCCCGAGAATTAAATCTGATGCTTGAAAGCTATTAACCGCTCTTTAACTACTGCTTTTGTAATATGTATTTAGTGTATGATATGATAACAGACAACTGATGATTTTCTCTTCCGAAACCTCATTAAACAGTAAGGTATGTTAATAGAAAAAGAAATTCAATACACACAAAAAGATTGCTTATGCTTCATTTTTGCTAGGGGGGAATATGAGTTTACAAAAATGCTAACCAACGGGAACTGAGGACTCTAGGTTTCTTCTTTGTTTTAATACTAGTACGTGATCCAGCATTTCCATTCTGATTTTTAAACATGTAGATTCCACTCAGTTCATTTTAACCTTGTTTTTTGTTGACTCCTTCCAAAGCATTAGACAAATCAAACCAGTTTTGGTTGAATCTGGATGTGATCCACATGCTGAAAATGTTTAACATTAATATTTTAACTGGCAGGATGATGCAAAATCTGATTATTATTAGGTTTTTTCCATTCACCATTTTCATTCATGACAAATCTTGCTTCTTTCCTTCCCAGCTTTGCATTATCCTTCTGTTTTAGGATTTTTGTGGAAACAACTTATACCTGTGCACTGTGATGCCTGTCATTTATCTATACATTCTGGTTTGACTCTCTGCTAGCTAACATTATGATGATCTGATTATGATATTTCTTGATAAAAGTACTCAGATACTTAATTTTAATTGGGTTTCTCAATTTTAATATATAATTGATAAGTCAAGCAATCGGATGATTTTCTCTACTTATGTCATCCAAGTCTTTTTTTGTGTGGTATGAGCATACTTGAGTTAGCAAACATGCTTATCTTTGCGAACTAAACTATTTTGTCATGTATAGTGGCTTTGGTTTATCAACTATCACTTGAATTATGGAAGTTGGGAGTTCATTTGGTCTCTCATAATCCATTTCTGTGGATTGGAATGAAATAGGTGTGGGACGAGCTGCATGAGATTCATGATGTATACTTTTAGTTGATAGTGTTTGAAATCTTTCATTTTAGAGTTATATCGTTTTTCACTTCTCTTTTCAATTTTATGGATGATACCTTAGCTGTGTAAGGGGTATTTGTCTGGATGATGATTGTTACTTCTCTTGAACCAATGCATTGGATTTTCACTGCTTCGTGTAGTATGGTTGGTTGGGTCTTGAGTTATCTGGACTTTGATTTACTGGTTTAACATTTCTTGCTCCATCTAGTGCAATTGGAGTTAATTGTTACAAAGATCTTGGATTATAAATACTTCATACAACCATACTATATAAAAATATCATCGCTTCTATTCAGGTTGTAACTATGGTGATTTTTACATGACAAAATCATGGGAGCAAACATATCTTCACTGCTCTTTCATTATACATGCATACTTTTATTTCTTATGTATTATATTTGTTACACTAGTTTATTGATTTTTCTCCTCAACTTGCAGGAGCTGGAGAAGATGTTGCCATGTGCACCACCTCCTGAACCAAAATATCAACTTCGCCGAAATGCGTCAGCTCCATTCTGAGATCTGTACCTAGATGTAGAGGTTTGTAGATATGAGTATGAGGGAATGCTCCTTGTGGCTTACTGTAGGTTGAATGTGGTATCTCAGCAATTGCTATGTGATGCATTTGCATCCAATGGCTTGCTTTTAATTGTCATTAGGTTCTTCATAATACAACTTTGAGGTTCTTTTTTTAAAAATATTTATGGCAAATGTTGTAGTTTTACCATTCAAAATAGTCTTTTTAAGCGCCTTAGGGATCACATAATTGAGGGTCTTGCCATTTTTCAAGTTATGGGAAAATAGAGCCACTGTTAATGTGCACTGCGGAGATGAGCATCATATATTACCAAACTATTGGATAATCTGGCTTCAGTTTTGTTGAAACTTTTTCTCAACTCCTTTTGTATTTTTTTAAACAAAAATTTTGGCCGGGTAGTTTTTTATTTTTTTTCTTTCACTCATCCTTCTAAAATTAAATTTCTGAAAGTGACTGGGAATTTTGTTTTCACACGCAAAAAAATAAAGGATGGCATGATTAGAAAAGAGTGTAAAAGAAAATTTTTAGTTAACAATTACTTTTGTCATTGAGAAAGAAAATCAGTGCATTGTTGCTATTAAAATAATGTATTTTGTAATTGTGAAGGAATTATTTAGGGCAATTTGGTTTAAACTTTAGTAAAATTAATTCTGTTAATGTTATTTTAATAAAATTAATTTTAAAATATTAAACAATTAAAATGTATATTTAAATCAATCTTGACCATAAAGTTTACATTGTGTCAAGGTAAGAGGAATAGTTTTTATGACTAATCTAAACAGACAGTTCGGTCATTTACTCAAAAGAATTTGAATGTACAAACTAAAGAGAGAAAAAAAGATATAGCATTAAAGGCGGTTTTGATTTTACAAAGGGTATTGTACTAACATTCTCTTTCACAGCAATGGTGGCTTTGATTTTAGAAAGGGTATTGTATGTGCATTCTTTTTCACGGCAAAGATGGCTTTGATTTTACGAAGGGTATTGTACCAACGGCCCTTTTCACTGTAAAGGTGGCTTTGATTTAACAAACATGAAGAGGGTAATATGATGCATTTGTTTTCAGTTGAATCCCAATGACATGCTCTTCCTCTTCTCTTATGCTAGTCATATGGTTGTTATATAAATAAGATATATTTTTTATTACATGAGGACCTTTAATGATTAATTGTAAGACTCATTAACTATATTTGATAAAAATTCTTTCTCGGTCCAGCATAATCAGATTCAACAAAAAAGATTCAAAATTTTATAGTTAGTTATATTGCTGTCATAATTTCTTTTAAATTGTTAATTATGTGTAAATAAATTATTATTTAAATAGATTTGACAGTTAATTAATTAAAATAATACTAGATGATTAACTATATATGATTAAAAAAAGCATTTGGGATAGCTTCTATTTAGTTTATTTAGAATTGAAAGAGATAACAACACAAAAAAGGAAAGGTTAAATGTGTATTTATGAAAGATGACAAATAGAAACTTCTTTTATATGTATAAAAGCAAGTTGGAGCTAAAACATAAGGTAAGAGGATAAACACAACAAATATACACCTTTTCACTCTCGAAACACCAATTGTTATGTCTAGTTCTTGACATATATATAAGGATTTTTCACTGTATCACATTAGTTACAACATCAACTGATCTACCCCAATTATTATCTCACACAAACAGCCTCTTTATATATATATATATATATATATATATATATAAAGAGAGCAAGAATAGTAACAAAATGACTTTAAAACACAATATAGAAAACAAGATTGAAGAGTGTTTCGTTAATCTATCTTGGAGACTGTATATTTATATCAAGTTTGGTATCTGTCTATATAGAATTCTTAGAAGAAGCTGTTAATGACATGCAAGGTTTGGTTCTTGATTGCATTAAAAATAGAGTTTACCTTCTGTCAAGCGTCTGCCATGAAGATCTTCTTTCCAGGCTTATTGTGAGAGCTTTTCTGACAGTCTCTAATATGTAAATTTTTTAATATGATGTGCTAAACTATCTCGTCCTAATGCTTCTGTTCAAAGGAGGGTGTTATTAATAGATTATATGTTCTTTAGATAGTCTTTAGACAATTGTTCAAACGATTTTTCAAAGGGGTATTGTACTTGCATTCTTTGTTTTTGCACAGGAATTAAGTTTGTATTTAAATGCTTGCGTAGTCATAAAAATTGTGAGATTCAGATAAAATTGATACTAACAAGAGTTTATTTGGCAGTTGAGTTTTGGAGGAAAGAGGAAAGAGAAAAGAGAAAAGAATTTAAATTTTAATAAATATTTTCTAATTTGATAAATTATTTAAAATAAACGAAATAAAATGATAGATTAGCATCAACTTGTAAACTTAATGTTTTAATTTTTTTATTTTATAAGCATTAAATAACTTTCTTAATGTAAATATAAAAAATTTGTCTTCCTTCCCTTTTTCTCTAAAAAACCTCACTTCCAAATACATCCTTAAGCTTTATAAAAGCAGCTTATGATGTTTTTATAAACTATTTTTAAGTTATTTTTCATAAATTTCACAATCAAGCTTACAACTCTTGAAAAAAAGCTTTCATTTATTAAGCATTTAACAACATTCATGCTTTGGTATACCTCAGGTCAAGGATAAGTTTAGTTTCCCAAGTGAAGAGGTGTATATAGTAAAAAAGTGAAAATAAATTCTAGTTGATTCAGACAAGTATTTTTATAACAATAACTAACTTTAATTAACAGAAGATAGATGTTCACTTTCTCACTTTAGAAGAGCTAAAATTTGTGTAAGATTACATAGTCAAAATACTTCTTATAAGAGCTAAACAATCATCCTTAACTTTGAGAGTAAGTTAGGTTCAATTTTTTAATATGATATCAAAATCTATCAACTCTCAATGTTGGATCACCCACAAACTTTTAATCCTACAAACTTCATGTACATCATATCATGTACATGAATGTCTTGTCTTAAATGTGTGAGCAGTGTGTTAAAATATTTAACATTGGTTAGTAATATAATCAAGATATTCCGTGTAAGATTTGGACTCTTATAATTTTACACACCAGTCCAAAGGTAGTGTGTAAAAGTGTTCTACTATGATTAAGAATAAAGTCAAAATTTTCTTTTATAAAACTTGAATAACTTTTCTTTCTTGAATTAACATTTGAGAGTTAAGATGAATTTTCAAGTACTTAACCAAACATTGGAGATCATGATCGAATTAATATGGGCAATCTGATCAAGGAGAGAAGCATTCTGATATTTGAATGTAGAAAAGTGGATTGGTGTCATATCCTTCAGAAAGCAACGTCTATTACTAGGATGGATATTGCTACCCAATAAGTGACAGGGTAAAGGCAAATGTAGATGCCCTTTTAGTGAAGGATATAGCTGTAAATCCCAAAACACTTTTTTTGTGTGTTTTTTTATGAACCATACTCTGAAGGAAGAGCCCAAAGAGCAGAGGCCCAATACAATTGGATCCACAATATGCATAAGCTTTGGGCTTGAGAATGAGATGGACTTTGAATAAGGTAAAATATACTCTAAATAGATGAGTTGAATATTTATCTAAAAAAATTATAATAAATGGATTGAGTAGACTTTTACTGATAAGTTATGAATGAATTACATATTTCAAGCCCTGATTTTTAATAAATTGTAAATAATTTATTAATTTAGTTTTTATTCATCTATTACATCACATTAATTCTTGCAACTTTTCATTTGTTAGGGGAACACCTAATTGAGTACTTCATTGTTTAGCTTTGTTATTTTCTATTGGAAACGAGCAGTTATTAAGTATATATATTAATTATGGTAACATTTGATAAGAAAATATTTTATTTTAAAAAATTAATTAAAATATATAAATTTGATCATATAATATATGATGATTGGGTGGGAGCATGAACATGTAGTAGTATTGTAACACCTAATAATTTCTCTGAAGTGAGCAGTATTGATTTGTCATCAAACAGGCTTCTACTGGACTACCTCTGTGATGCTTAGTTCTTTCTTTCCACAATAATGATAGTAATAATAATAATAATAAATATTTATTATTTGAACATACATAATATTAAAATGAAAAAATTAATATAAATTTAGTATGATTTAATTTAGTTTAATTTTGAATATAAAAAATAAAAATTAGAGTAAAAAATGTGATTAATAACATAAATTTATTATATCAAAATAATTTAAATTGATTTTTTAATATTACTAACTTAATAATTTGAAAGTTGTAAAAAAAATAATATTTTTTTAGACGCTCAATTTTTTTATTTTTAAAAATGTTATTTATAACATACAAAATAAAAGATTAAAAAAATAAATTTTTACCATTCTTAAAAATAAAAGACTAAACATACAAGAATATATAAACATTCATATGACAGAAATAAATCTTAAATATTACATCATATATAAATAATTATTTATAAGTTTAACATAATATATATTTATTAATCAAAGTAAATCACAAAAATTATTATTTTTTAATAGAAAAATGTGTTTGGTATTTTTTATATCATTAAAGTAGGGTTAATAATTATACTAAAATTAATTTTAAATTATAATTAGTCTAAATTATAAATCAAAATAAATTTAATTTAACATATATAGATATATTTTACAATAGTATTTAATATTTATATAATAAAATAAAAAATAATATAAAATTAATATGTTTGCAGTACTTTTAATCTAGTTTACTTTCAATTATAAGAATTGAAAATTGAAGTAAACTACCTAAAAAATGTTATTAATAACCTTGAGATAGGATATAAAAAAATGAATTGATTATTTAATAGTATTAATTATATAACTTCGAATTTATAGACAAACATATCATATGTATTTATAAATATTTATTTTATTTTTATGTTGACTAATGTTATTATATTTTTAATTTGTAATTATTTATTTTCAAAAATTTATTTTATAAAAAATAAAAGATTGAAAATTTTAATATAAATATTTACATTACTTAAATAAAAAGATGCATATAAAAATATAAAAATATCACAAAAAATAGAATTTACTTCACATATAAATATTTATTTTGAAAAGTTAGTGTAAAAATATATTTATAGATGAAGTAACCATTAAAATTGTTAATTTTAATATATTTTATATTGTTAAATTAAGGTAATATAATTTAATTATTGCTGAGTTGATATGAGAAAGAATTTTTTAAATGTATTAAAAGTATATTTATATATAATAAATATAAAAAAATTATACAAATATTTATATATAAAATTATATTAATATCTAAAATATAAATTAAATTTATTTTTTATTATTTATTAATTATATCTATATTTTATTTTGATTTATTTATAATATTAACTCATAAGATGCATGGATAAAAATTGTACTTCATTGAAAAAATTATTGTTATATAACATAAAGTGAATATTAAATAATAAATATATATATATATATATCTGATAAATTATATTATATAAATATATATTATGTAAAAATAGTTTTAAATTTTTATTATTACATCATATATCAAAAATTTTTATTGATAATATTAAAAAATTATTGGTCATTAAAAAAATAATTATTATATTTACATTATTATAAGACAATATGAGAAAATATTAATGTTTGCATTAACAATAATAAAAATTAATGTATCAAATAATTGCTAATTTTTTTAAAAAATTTGTTATTAAATAATTTTTATAGTTATGTCTACTATTATAGAATAAATGTAACAAATAATTATTATAAAAATTTATTATTACAAAAATTTATTATCTAAATTGATTCAATGAAATATTGTATTTAATGTTTAATGTTAATTAAATGTTAAAATTTTCTTAATTATAATCATATTAAATCAAAATTTTAAAATTTAATATGCTCAAAGTTAGTGTACGGGCCAAAACACTAATAAGTGTGTGTTTAATACTAAGTATCATGATAATGATTACGTTAAAAGAAATGTTGAGATAAAATCAAGTGAGTTATTTAGAGTATGTTTGTTTTTAAAAACAGAAAAGGAAAAAACATATCCTTAGTTTTTTGATTTGTTTTGCACTTTAGCCTGACACAGTTTTAATCACAATTTGGCAAAATGGTGAACAGGAAAACTTAGAATACAGTGGTAGCAGTTGACTCTCTCTTTGTCCCTTCTAAAACACCTCTTACCAGCCATTTTGTTTATTCTATTGTACCCATCCAACTTTGTTTCATATTTTATGTCATCAACTCTCACAGCATAGCATGATGTCAATCTCAACCATTTCAACACGCGTTTTAGAGACACCTTATCATTGAATCCACATTCCACACACCAACTCTCTTCCTACTTCCTTGTCCCTGCACATTTTCTGAGTCCTCCGCAGTTTCCATGGGACAAGAAACCAGAAACCTCTCAGATGAGTACGAGGTTTCAGAAGTCCTAGGTAGAGGTGGATTTTCTGTTGTCAGAAGAGGCACAAAAAGATCAAGCAGTGAGAATAAAACCCATGTAGCTATCAAAACACTGAGAAGATTAGGTAACCCTTCTTCTTCTTCTTCCTCGGCTGGGTTACACCGACCAAAAGGTGGAGAGAAGAGCACAGCAGCTATGATGGGGTTCCCCACATGGAGACAAGTGTCAGTCTCAGATGCCTTGCTCACGAATGAGATTCTTGTGATGAGGAGGATAGTGGAGAGTGTTTCACCACACCCCAATGTGATTGACCTCTATGATGTGTATGAGGACTCAAATGGGGTCCATCTTGTGTTGGAGCTATGTTCTGGTGGGGAATTGTTTGATAGGATTGTGGCACAAGATAGGTACTCAGAGACTGAAGCTGCAGGTGTGGTTCGCCAGATAGCATCAGGATTAGAGGCTATTCATAGAGCTAACATTGTCCATAGGGACTTGAAACCTGAGAATTGCTTGTTCTTAGATGTGACCAAGGACTCTCCTCTTAAGATCATGGACTTCGGGTTGAGTTCTGTTCAGGAGTTTACTGACCCAGTTGTTGGTTTGTTTGGATCCATTGACTATGTTTCACCAGAGGCTCTATCTCAAAGAAACATTACTACCAAGAGCGACATGTGGTCTCTGGGAGTAATTCTATATATCTTACTCTCTGGGTACGCTGTATTCTTTTTTCCCTCACACCTTCTCATTGGGTAAAATAAACCATGCTATCACCATGAAAATTTATCAAAAGAAGATTTTTCTTACATATCACTCAATTTAGCACATTATGTTTATCTATTGTCCTTTGCTCATACATCTTTCTTTCCTTCTAGGGGCGAGCTGTTTACAGAAATTTATCATTCAATTTTGCACATTATGTTTATCAATTGTCCATTCTAGGCACATACAATAGATGAAAGCCTCATTATATTTCTCTTAAATAATGAAAGAACTCAATAGTACCCTCCTATTATATTTTTTTGCAGGTATCCACCTTTCATTGCTCAGTCTAATCGTCAAAAGCAACAAATGATAATGAATGTAAGTAACATGTCTCGCATAGATTTAATGAGATTCCTCAAAGAGGAATAGTAATTTAGGCAGAGTAAAAATAGCAATGCACCAAGAGGTGATTTTTACTTAAATACATTATCCATTTTCACTATACTGCATGTGTTTTCTCATGGTACCTTTGCATTATGCCAGATCCAATGACCAGTGCAAAGGTATAGGGTCTTGAGTTGCATTGTCACGTGCAAGACTATCATTACTTTTTGACTCTTAAAAGAGACATCTTTTAACTTGTATATGACATGTCATGCTTCTAGTTCATTCTGTTTTGCTTTTACTTACCAAATTAAATGCTATGGAACAGGGGAGTTTCAGTTTCTATGAGAAGACTTGGAAGGGCATTTCCCATTCAGCAAAGCAACTAATTTCAGATCTTCTGACTGTTGATCCTACTAGGAGACCTAGTGCTCAAGATGTATTGTCCACTCTTACCAACATCACTACTCTTAATGAAGCACATTTTGTTCCTTTTTGGTACATAGAATTAAGCATATATACGATTAAAGAAGTCCTGTTTTGTTAAAAATGAATTACCACTAAATTCCATTGTTTACCAACTATGTACGTAGATTATTGATCAAATATGTTTTGAGTTTCTATAAATTTAGTTTTAATCTTATATTTTTTTCATTTGGTTTTGGTTTTTTTTTTTAAATTTAAAATGTTTTTTATTACAGCTTAGTAGTGACACATCATATGTCTAGATATACTATTACATTGGTAATTATTTTGAGGTAGCATTTAACGTGACATATTTGTGTATGTGACCTATAAAAAAAAAATTATGACCAAAATCAACTATATTTATAAAGATCCAAAAGCATATTATCCTGACTTATTCTAATTTGTATTTAAACAACTTACAATTATTCTTTAAGGAACTTTTGAGGAGGAAAAAATAATATGCTCTAGTATTTTTCTGACATAATGCATAAATAATAATCAATTTGTAATTCTCAAAATGGCAATGCTTCCATGCTTGGTATCCCAGATTCATTGTTAATGTTTCTTCAACACTTTGCATCATATATTTGGTTAACATAGCTCAAGAGAATAATAACCCCCAACACCCATTCTGTTCTGTTTTGGAACAGCTTCTGTGTCATCCATGGGTCTTAGGGGACAAAGCCAAAGATGTTGCAATGGACCCTGAGATAGTCTCAAGGTTGCAGAGCTTCAATGCAAGACGCAAACTGCGTGCAGCTGCAATTGCTAGTGTATGGAGCACCACAATATTCTTGAGAACCAAAAAGCTGAAATCCTTGGTAGGAACACACGATCTCACTGAAGAGGAAATAGAAAATCTCAGGATAAATTTTAAAAAGATGTAAGTACTGGTGACGAATAGTACATCAAATACAAATTAGTGAATGAAATAATGAACATGATCAATTTTCTTTTTAAAATTATAAGAATATAATTTTAGTATTGAAAAGTTGAGTGTTGGGTGTAAACAGATGTGTAAGTGGAGACAATGCGACTCTGTCAGAGTTTGAGGAGGTGCTGAGAGCAATGAAAATGGCATCATTGATCCCTTTAGCACCACGAATATTTGACTTGTTTGACAACAACCGTGATGGAACAGTTGACATGCGTGAGATACTGTGTGGCTTTTCCAGCTTCAAAAACTCCAAAGGAGATGATGCTCTCCGTTTGTGCTTCCAGGTTTGCCTTATTTCTACAAGTTAAATGTCTATTTAATAAGAATTGAAAAACTTGATCATAAAATGCATCCAAATACCCAGAAAGAAGAACGATTATATGTAAAATTGTATTTATATTATTTGGTTTTCTTGCCCAATAGATGTATGACACGGATCGATCTGGGTGCATCACTAAAGAAGAAGTAGCATCCATGCTCAGAGTAATGCCCCTTCTCTTCTGCTATTTAGGGTTTCTTTGATTTACATTAATAGTATTTAGTTGAGGTGTAACTTTTTATATTTAGTTAATATTTCATTAAACTTTAACTTTCCTTCAAAAGTGAAGGATTTAGAATGAACATTTTCTTTAAATAAATTATAACAAATTCTCTTTAACCAATCTGCATATTTTACTGTCTTAAATATATAATAATAAATTCACTAATTTATCTTCTTATGAATTAAACAAAGTATCTCTGTCTTTTGTTAAAAACAAATCCTTTCCTTCCTTTCATTTGCATCAAACAGTGTTTTGTTTAGATTTTACTAATTTTTTTAAGTAATAATTAATAAATAATAAATTTTATTAGAAATCACATTAAAATATGTTAAAACTACAAAAGTGAATATCTTTATATTTTTAATAAAAAATTATTTTAACTTTTTTAGTTTACTCTAAACACACTTAAACTTTATTTGAGAGTTGATTTTTTAGAATAAATAAATAAATTTATGTGATGATTATCTTTATTTAAAAATTTGTAGATAAAATAAAAGTTTATAAACAATTCAAAATTCTGTAAAGTTATTCCAAGTTAAAGAATTTTGTATTAACTTTTTTTTTAATTCTCATCTCTTCTCTTATTTTTAATTTTTTTTTTATCATCTCTTTTCAAACTCTCAAACAAAGTTAACATTTTTCAGAGTTAAGTTAAATTATCTTTAAAAAATTACATATGATTGAATTGTATACTTGAAAAGCCTTGTTATATTTTCTTAAATATTTTTTAATTATTTATAAAGTAACTATTAAATAAAAAATGTATGTATTACTTCCTTTAAAAATATAAAAATATTTAATAACTTCTTTATTTACTGATTAAGATATTTTGTAAAATAAAATACAAAAAGATTTAACATTATTCATACTTAAATTAATCTAAATCAAAAATTCATTTTTACTAAAAAAATTGAGAATTAAATTTGTAATTTTAAAATAATTAAGCCATAGCCTTGTGTTTAGGAGAAATTATTATATGATTTGAGACCATTTAAATTTAGTCATGTATGAAAAATACATGTATCTTGTTTATTGGTTAGGATGTTAGTGATCCTAGAGCAGTGTGTGTTTAGATATAATGAACAAGTTGAGTGAAAACAGGCTTTGCCAGAAGAGTGTCTTCCAGCTGATATAACGGAACCTGGGAAATTGGATGAAATATTTGACAGAATGGATGCCAACAGTGATGGAAAAGTTACCTTTGACGAATTCAAAGCTGCCATGCAGAGAGATAGCTCTCTCCAAGACGTGCTTCTCTCTTCTCTTCGCCCCCACTAGTTCCACAAATTTCCATTAATTCACTGTTATCATCTTTTATTAGGAGTACCTTTTTTTTTCCTTTTCTTCTTTTTTGGTGCCATTCTTTTTTTCACTGAGGTATACAACTACAGGAAAAAAGAGTAATGGGGTATTAAACAGATGATATTGTACCATCTAATTTTTGCTATGACAATTAATTAGGAACTTCTGCATTCTCTTCTCATTCTGCAGCTACCTACATGATGAGTCTTGAAACTACACTTGAATACCACAAAGCTTATATGTTCATTATTATAAATAGTGTAAGTGTAAAGTAGACCTTCATGATTGTTCCCCACTAACATGTGAAATGACATCTGGTCTAAGCTTATATGAATACCATGTAGGACACAATTTAAAAAATTATGGGACATAATATAACTATAATACAATATATAAAATCAGTCTAAAATTAATCTGAAATAAGATTTTCAAATCTCAAGAGAATTTAAGTTTTAAAAATGAGCATGAATAACTATACTTATAATAAAATGTTGAATTTTATCCATTCATTATATAGTATTTAAATTGGTATTGATGTAAATAATTTTTAAAATTTAAAAAATATATTTTTTAAACAATTTTAAAAAACTATTTAATTTACAAAATAATTTTAAAGATAAAAAACAAACAAGCTATAAATTTTTTCGAGAATAACGTTGAGAAGAATTAGTCTACTTAATAATTCTTTAAGAGCAACAATTAAAAATCGAGGTTTTGTCACTGTTAGTAACAAATTAAAATGGATTGATAAAATAAAAATAAAAATCTAATCATTAATCCATTTAGAGATTGAATTAGCAATCAATTTCTTAAAACAACCAAATCCTTCTTTAACAGCAACAAATTTGAAGAAAAGATTTATAAAATTATTTTGTAAAATTTTTAGGACAAATTTAGAGAAAATTTTTTTTTTTTTAAATTTTCTCTCAAAATCAATCTTTATAAATTTTCTTCCAAAATACATCTTTAAATATATAAATTATTTATGATCCTTACTAGTTTAGAGATGAAAATTAAAATTATTATCATATAGGTATGTATAGAAATGAGAATTAAAATTGTTATCATACAGATATGCATATAAAAATGAGAATTGACTAACTTTTTAAAATATAAATATGGGGATATTTAGACCTTGCTCATTATTACCATACTATTAATATTTTCTTATTGAGTTAGTTAATCAGGTTTAGTCTCTTTTTTTTTAGCTAATAATCAGATTTAGTCTCTTGTAGTGCACTTTTATTTTTTATTTTATCTTTTTATCTCCTTTTTCCTTGAAAGCCTGGTTATGTGTACAAATGCTAACTAAAATTTGAATTTAGTTTTTATCATTTATACATGTTAAGATCATATTTAATATCATATTATCTATTTATTTAGATATTGTATCTAATCATCTACAACTCATCCTATATATGTAGCCAGATTCTTTGTAGTCCACGCGAGAATCGTAGAACTGTGTCCAAAACATCTCATTTGTTGAATTATTTCAACGGCTCAAATTATATCACGTAACTCACTATAAATAGAGGAACATTCGAAAGCCATTTTCGTTTAAACAAAACTAAGCTCCCATAAGTGAATCTGTCCCATGACTTCCGAAGCAAGCAAGGTTGTCGGCGAAGTTGTCCATGGTGCAGTCACGAAGGCAATAGAGGTAGATGGTGCTGATGTGGTGGAGGAGGTGGAAGTTGTGAAAGGTGAAGTCATAGTTGCGACAAAAAGTGGCAAAACATACGGTGCAGTAGGTGAAGTTAGAGGAGCAGTGGGACTTAATGGAGAGGCTTCCGATGAAGAGGAGGTCAAAGGAAAGACGACCGAAGCTAGTGCTACAAATGCTTTTGCTATTCATTGAGGTTGAATTCACAATCTCTGAGCTCAAAGTCACGCCCACTCAGTGTCGAAAGAAAAGGGTCACAACAATTACGAAGAAGAAGAAGAAGAATTGTACAACACAGTAGAGAGAGCAGTGGGCCAGATTAGCTTAAGGGAGCTTGGTTTCGCTTAAGCTCAAATGGCTTTCAAAGTTCAAACGTTCCTCTACTCGTAGTGAGTTATGTGACATCATATGAGGAGTTGAAATAATCTAACGGATAAGATGCTTTGCGCAAAACCCTGCAATTCCTATGCAGACTGTAGCGGATTCAAGTCTGAGATTAATAACAGTTAGGAGGGTTGATTCCATTTGAATATTACTTGTTTAATCTAATTTTAAATATATTTATAAGTGACGTATACAAAATTATTTTTATGTATATGCTTTTTTTTCACATGACATAGTATTGGTTAAAAATTTAAAAGTAAATTTTAATGTTAAACTTAACTTATGAAAAAAAAATTAGAATCTAAAGATTTTTCAGAGATAAAGTATATGTATTGTAAGTTTATTAAAAAAATTAAAATAAATTATTATGTATCAAAAGTAATATTACATCACAAGTTTTCAAGTACTTTAGAATCAATTCTAGGAAGTGATGAAAAAATTAATCAAGATATTATGGAATACATGGTGGGCAGTTAAGGTGAAAAAAAGCATAAAAAATTGTTTGTAACTAAAGTACTTATCAAGTTGAAAAAAGAGAAGTTTTATCATATTGCAACATAACTAAATATTTTATATAGTAGTGAATATTGGATCTTAAAGAAATAATATGAGATAAAATTAGAAGAGACAAAAATTAGAATGTTAAAATGGATGAATAGTCACTAAAAAATAATAAGATAAAAAATAATAATATACTTAAAAATATTAAAAATAATACCTATAATAAAAAAATGACTGAAAATCTTTGATCACATGGAGAGAAAATATCTAGAGACAATAATAAAAAAAAAGGTGAATGTCATGAATTTTAGTTCAATTAAAAAAGATAGAAGAAAAAAAAACTTTAGAAAAAGTATTAATTTTTTTTTAATTAATAATATTTTAAAATTTTGATTTTTGATTTATTATTGTGTGATCTATATAGTTTGTCTCATTTAATAGAATAAGATTTGGTTGTTTTATTCTATTATTTAAATGAATGTATTTAGGTTGAAAAGAATTGATCCATTCATTGTCACTACCATGTACTCTAATTTTTGGAGATACTTATAACATGTGAAAGTAATCACTTATATAATTTTTAATAAATTAAATTAAAATCTTAAAATTTTGAAATTAATTTTTAGATTATATAAATATATTATTATGTAAAAATAATAGTCTAATCAAAATTTAAACATTTACTTTAATCATTAAATTTTAGGTATAATTTAATTAAATTATAAACTATAATAGTAACTTATTTTGAGTCTAAACCAAATAAATTGTGTTATTTTTTGGTATTTTTTTCATCTAAATATATAAAATAGTATACTATTTATTTTCTATCTATTTTTGTGTCGTTTGATTAGTATTCACAATTAAATTTTACTTATTTTTATCTCAGTATATTTTTTCTTATTGATTAAGCATTAATTATTCTTGATTTTCTGCTGAAAATATTTTTTATTATAGAATTATAATATTAATAAAACATGACTGATTGAATGTTTGACTTTAATGACTTTAATTAATTGTTTCATATTAAATAATTGTTTCACTCATGTCTTTTAATTGTTACAAAATATTAAACTTAAAAAATAAGTTTTATTTTTATCAAATATAACAAAGAGTAATATTTTTCAGCACAATTAATTGAAACATCAAAATTAATATTTTAAAGATTGAATTTTACCTTACGATAATGTTTGCGAAAGATGGAAATAGAAGAAACTGTGGCTAATAAATGATAATTATTTAATGTTTCGTTATAATGGTTAATCACAGTTTACTTTAATGTATAAGAGATATATACGGATAAATTTGATTAAAATCAAATTCTTTCAATTATAGAATTTATTTGGCCTTAAAGAATAATTTTATTTGAAAGTATTTATGTGTAATTTTATATTATTATTTAATTATAAATTATTATATTATTAAGAATCATTAAGAAAAACTTATTTATCATATATTTTATTTAATTGATAAAATAAAAATCTTTACGCATACTCATAAAAAGATCATTTCTTGTTGTAATAAGAATTAGACGTTTAGTTTTATTTTTATTTAAACAAATTTTACATATTTTTTACGAAAAGGATTGGATGAAAAAAAAGAAAGAATTAAAGATGAAAAGAACTGGTAGAGATTGAGTGAGAGAGAGCCGAAAAAGTTAGTTATAGAAAAAAAAAGAAAAAAATTAGATATGGATGGAAGAAAAAAGAGTTAAAGGAGAAAAGAGAATAAAAAATTGCATAATTTGTTTTTTTTTCTTTTAATTTAAATAAAAATAAAATTAAATGTTTAGTTAATTTTTATTATGTGAATTATAATTTTTTACTATAATAAATTCTTACTTGTCATTACTTAACATAATTTTCATATCATTAATATTTTTTATATTTATCAAGAAAAATATCTATTATATGTATTAATTTATATCTATGACATTACCCATTAATTTTATTATTTTTATTTTTCCTTTTCTATCGTTTTCCTCTTTCTTTCTATATATATATATATATATATATATATATATATATATATATATAAATATATTCAAAAAATAATTAAAATTATTTTAATTAAATATATTTTTCTAATGATTTTCATAAAAATATATTTTAAAAAATTAGTAAATCAAAAAATTATATACATTTATGAACAATTTTAAAATTATAATAAGTTTTTAGTCTTTGATATAGTTTTTTTGTTACAGTACAATATTTTTTCAGTTTTATCAAACTCTATTATTCTTATAAATGCTAAAATATTTAATCGAGTTTAAAATATAAATAAACTACACATTTATAACTTTTAGGAAAGATCATAACATAACTCACTTGGAAGTTGAATCCCAGAATTACAGCACTGTCAATTATTATCTATAACAAATGTTTAAGAATTATTATCTATAACAAATTATTCAAAAGAATAAATAAGTAAAATATAAAACTCACATATACTAGTTAAACTGAAAGTTGTGTCTAAATATTAAATTATACAACTTAATCAAATAAATATTTTTAAAATAAAACCGGTTATTAAGTAAAAAGAAAAGTACTTTTTTTTATAGACAAAATAAATATTATTAGAGAGAATTCAAGGAAAACTCAAAATCCATATACACAAAAAAAAAAATTACTTACTCAAAGAAATAGAAAGCAAAAATATACTTATACAAAGTTAAGACGGATGCAATTTCGTGAATGCAAATACCAATCAGCTAACAAAATAGCTTCTCCCTTACTAATAAGTAATAGTCATTTCCAGGACCTCAGAATAATAGAATTTAGGACTTCCCTCTCATCCAAAATACCATTAGAAAATACAATTCTATTTTTATGTAACCATAAAGACCACACTGTACTTACCCAAACAATTAATAAGCATATCCCTTCTCTTTTACTACAGTCAACACCAACCTAAGAAAGCAAGTGAGTCGATAAATCTGAAGGCAAAACCAGTGAGAATCCAAGCTAACGTGCAGTCAAGTACTAGATTTGAGATGAAACTGAGCACGTTAAAAATAAATGAGTTAGAAGTTTCTCAAAACCAAGACAGAAGCAGCAAGTTATATCATCAATTTGAACACCACGATCAATCAGTAGACCTTTACAAGGAAGTGCATTCAACAACAATTGCCAAGAAAATACCAGACACTTAAGAGGAACATTTCTTCTCTATAGCCTTTGCAAGACATCTGCTGTATACTGATCTATACTATTAGGACCACCAAAAAGTTCAAATAGCCATGCATACGCATATTGCACTGAATAACAACTTGAAGAATCTGTCATTCATACTCATTTATCTTTTTGTAGTAACTTAATAAAAACTTCATCCACAAACTTCAACTGTTTCACAGTTTAGTAATTCGAGCTTAAATCGTGCCCAAAGTGGTGTATATATATATGTGTGTTGTGTATGTTATTTTTTCCCCATAAAACTGTTATTTTAATTTTATTAAGTAAATAAAATTCATTTCTTTAAATTTAAAAATGAAAGTAATAAATTACTAAGAATTATAAAAGGAAATTTAGCACTTATTATGATATTATGCGTATGCTGTCATAATCTATGCTTAATTAATATTTTTCAACAAACACAAGAGTGATATGCTAATTATGCAAAAAAGAAATTATCCAAGTAATCTGCCACAGGAATTCTTCTTTTTTTATTTTTTATTTGCAAGGTATATTTTGACTTCGCCTGTAAATAATAGCAAAAAAAACTTTAAATTACATTATTAATGTTTCTTAGATTTCAATGTATTATTTATCATATTTACTATTTCTTAATACTTTTTAAACTTTATCTTTTTTAATTTATTTCTATCACGTTACCTATTAAAGATATTATTTATTGTTTTTCTTGTCCCTATCTTTTTCTTCTCTCTAAAAAATTAATACACCAAAAAAATATTTAAAAAATATTTTTCTAAATTTTTTTAAGAATTACATTTTATTTAAAATGTTCATGATTTTATTATAAATTTATGTTTGTAATAATTATAATGATTAAATAAATTTAAAATCAATTTAAAAATTTAATAATAAATTTATCATAAATTGAAATAAATATTGGTCCGAATAAAGTATTAATATTTGTTTATTATTCATACTAAAATATAAATTAAATGTGCTAGTTTTCTCTAATCTTTTATGTCAAAATTTTCGACAAGATTATTGAATAAAATAATAAGAATTATATGTATCTGTGAAAAATATTAAAAAAAATATCTTAAAATCTTTTGGTAATTGATATAATTTTTTTTTTATCATAACTTCTATTCTCTGGCTTTCAAAACTGATCTCAGAGTGAGACTTAAGCAAACTCACTTGGGCGTATGAAAGAAAAGGCCAATGAATAATATGAGGAAAAGAAAGTATAAAAAATCTAATCTCAAGAATGCAAAAATTACCATCTATTATTTTAAATTAATTCTTTTAGAGTTAAATTAGATTAATTATTTTTAATTTTAATTGAATAAAAAATTCAAACAAAATTGAGTGTTTACCAACATTAAGCATGCACTCGTTGATGCAATAAATGTAAAATATAAATGACCAATAGCTGGACTTCAAAATATATAACAATCAATACAAATATATACAATGCAGACTCATAATTTTATAAAATAGATTGGAGGCTCATTCAATTCAAATAAACTATTTGCATTCATGTGGATAAGAAACTTACAATTCAAGGTTTAATTAGATCAAACAAGAGAGACAAAGTTGTGATACTCATTTATTTCCAAAAAAGGCTAAGAAAAATATATAAAAAAGAAAATAATTAAGAGAAGACAAGCATTATGAGTGTTATTGATTCATTGTTCCATGAGTCCTCATCCTTGTCCTCCTTTTAGGCCTTCTATTTTGGTGACCTTGGACCATCCTTACAAGCCATTGAGGCTTCCCTGTTAACAGTACACAACATCCCAAGCCCACTCCAAACACCATGCCACATCCATATCCTATAGCCACTGGTTTCCAGCCAAATTCAATTTTTTGTTCATGTTGAGTGTGTTGTGCAGGACCCTTACTACATTTCATTGACAATGGAAATCCACATAACCCCAAGTTTCCCACATAGGAATCATTTAAAAATGTGTTGAATTGCTTCCCTTGAGGTATTTCTCCCACAAGATGGTTATGGGAAAGATTCAAAACTGCAAGATAGTTTAGATTGATTAGTTCTGTAGGAATGCCACCAATAAGCATATTTGAGGATAGATCCAATGATTCCAAGTTAACCAAATTTCCCATTGAGTGAGGAATAGAACCAATCAGTCTATTATGGGAAAGGTTGAGCCCTATGAGTGCATGAAGCTCTCCAACATAATTTGGAATCTCTCCTTCAAATTTGTTGCTTGATAAATCAATATATACAAAGACTGTTGGAATTTTTGTGAGCATGACAGTGATCCCTTTTGTTGTTATATTCACAGAATCATAGAACAGGTTAATTTTTGTTTGACTTGCATCAACACCTAATCCTGCCCACATGTATTGCAAATTGCTGTGCCCTTCAACTTGAAGCACATTCTTCATGGCTTTGAAATTTTTTATGTAGCCTTTTGGTATTGGGCCACTGAGGTTATTGCATGATACATCAAAAATGATTAAACTAGGAAACATATCCTTGATCTCTAAACTAGCAATAGAACCATGCAATTTATTGGCTCGCAAAATCAACACTTTCAAATGTGGTAAAGTTTGAAGCCAATGCGGAAATTCACCCTTTATTTGGTTGTTGCCAAGATTTAGAAGCTCCAATTGTGTGCAGTTGGACAAAGATTTAGGCAAAAGACCTTCTAATTTGTTCCCATTGAGATTCAAAGTACTGAGCTGGTTGTTCTTCGAACAGGTTCTTGGCAAAGGGCCAAAAAGTTTGTTCATTTGTAGATCTAGAACTCGAAGGGATGATAAGTTTACAAGGCATTGAGGAATAATGCTAGCCAACTTGTTGTGTGACAAATTGAGAATCACAAGTGAAGTTGCATTGCAAATTAGTGAAGAGATGTCACCAGCCAATAAGTTGAAACTAAGATCAAGGTAACTGAACCCATAATTCCTTGGCAGTTGGTCCATTGATGTCAACAAGTTGTTAGAGAGGTTCAAAAAACTTAATGAATCCATTTCATGTAGTAACCAATTGGGTGACCTTCCATCAAGTTTATTGTAGGACAAATCAATATAACTCAAACTTGGAAATTTTTCAAATGATATGGGAAATTCAGTCAAATTGATAGAAGATAATTCCAGAGCTTTTAAATGAGAGAAACTGTAAGTGACATTGGATTCAAAGTTTAGTGATAATTGACTATTCTGTGAAAGGGAAAGAACTTCCAGATTTTGAAACTTGGAGAAGAGTTGGAAATTGATAGTACCACTCCAATTGTTTGAAAATAGACACAAGTATTTAAGGTTTACAAGGTTGAAAATTGATTCTGGAATATTACCTTGTAACTTGTTACTACACAAATATAGATTCTCCAAGGAATGTGATGACATTGCACTTACATGCCCTTCAAATTGATTATATGATAGATACAAATTTACCAAAGATGGTAAAGATAAACACCATGAAGGAATTGTCCCATTTAGCAAGTTGTTATTTAAGCGCAAGTCGGTTAGGTTTGGAAACCTTGTAATTTTATTAGGCAAAGGACCCTCTAATCTGTTATTAGAACAATCCAAGTAAGAAAGTTGAGTCAAGTCAAACCATGAAGATGGAATTTGTCCTCCTAAATTGTTGAAACTAAGATCAAGAGATTTCAATTTGTTTAGTCCACCAAACACATTTGGGATTTGACCACTAAATGTGTTATGTGAAAGATCCAAGTAAATGAGTTGTTGAAGATGTGAAAGTGATGATGGGATCAAACCACTGAAACGGTTCAATGAAAGGTTCAAGAAAGTAAGAAGATTTGAAAGTGATGATGGAATTAAACCATTAAGTTGATTTCCTGAAACATCCAAACGAATGAGATGTTGAAGGTTCAAAAGTGATGATGGCAACTCACCTTCTATATTGTTTTCACTCAAATCTAATTCTTGAAATTTGTTTGACTGATGAAAGACATTTGGGAGATGGCCATTGAGATTACTATGTTTTAGATACAAGAAGGATAAACTTGGAAGGGTTAAAAGTGAGGGTGGAATTGAACAATTGAGGATGTTACTTGAGAGACTCAGGTAAGTAAGATGTGAGAGGTTAGAGAAAAACACAGGAAACGGTCCTTGGAATTTACATCCTGAAAGATCCATGATATTGAGAGCATTGCTGCAACTCAACATAGGAAGATGGCCTCCAAGGTTGAAATTATTTGTTAGATATAGTTGTCGAAGATTTGGTAAACAAATAATCTCATTTGTCAAGCTTCCACTTAACCCAACTGATCTTAGATTAAGAGTAACCAAAGAGGAAGATAAATTTAGTAGCAGAGGCATTGAGCTTGGCCTTATTGAAGACATATTTGTATTATCCAAAAGAAGTTCCCTTAAATTTGTTGCATTTTGTAGAAGACTCTTCAAAGTGGTTTCTTTCCATTTTAATTCAAAATTCCAAGTGAGATTAAGTGAGACTAACTTGGAAAGCTGTGAAATTTCAGAAGGAATTTCACCTCTGATGTAAGAATAAGACAAGTCAAGATGTTTGAGACTCATAAACATCCCACCAAACTGAGACGGAAATTGGAACTGGGAAAGAACATTAAAAGAAAGATTAAGTGTTTGGAGATGAGAAAGATGGAAAAGGGTACTATTAGAATGGATTATACCTTGGAGTCCTTCACAACTGAGGTTTAGGCCAATAACATGACCAGAGAGAGTGTTGCATGTGACTCCAAGCCATGAGCAACAATCAGTTCCGTTTTTCCATGTTGCAATCTTCAGAGATTCATCACAAGCATAAATAGTATTAGTAACTAAAGAGTTTTTAAATTGAAGTAATGCAGAGCTTTGGTCAGGATGACATATGAATTGGGAAGAAGAAAAAGCTGGAAAATCAAAGAGCAAATATTGTAAGCATAAAATAATTTGAAATAGCAACGACAACCACCCCATGGATGATTTTGTCACGCAATTCAAATTTCGTAGAAAGTGTTTACCATTTACTAGAAAGGAATAAAAAAGAATAGAAAGTGTGCATGAAATAATATGGAACATAACTTGTATTTATAGACAAATTGAGAACACAAGAGTTTTAATTTTTGTGTATTAATATTTTTGGCAAAACAAAGCTTTGATGGTCTTCGGTGACCCACATGTTGAGGGAAAGAAGACTTATTTGAAGACTTCTTCAACAAAATTAATTGTACCAAATTTTCCAAGACTTCTTCAATAATTCACTCCACATGGGTATAAAATATTGTTGAGTTCACCAGTGATAGTGCCTTCATTTTCATTTGAATTAACTTAGTCCATCTCTATAGGAATAAAAATATCAATCCAAATGGAAAGGTTCAAATTAATTTGTACCACCAAACTTTATTAACATTGAATGTAAAAATAATTGACTTAGTCTTTAACTTTAAAATATAAACCACTGTATAAATAATGTTATAGATAAAATAAAACTTTTATTTAATACACGCATAAACTTAAAAGAATATATTATACTCTTTTTAAATTAATAATTGTGATTTTTTAATATTTTAAAAAGTAACTAATTTTTTTTTAATAAATAACTAGTTCTACTATGTATTATATATATTTAATATAAAATTAAAATTTATTAAAAACATATAATATCCTTTTAATTTAAAAATCACAGTAAAACTTACTTGTCATCCTTATATTTTGTTGACCATGTCTTGACAAATTTGTATCTAATAAATTTTTCACATTGGATACGTCAGAGAGACAGTGACCAAAAATTTAATTTCTAACCGCTCCACACCTAATCAGAAGTTGTTGCTGCTTTCTGTCACTACAATCCTTTCACTTATAAATGCATGCACGATTTGGGTTCTTCATTTCATTTGAATTTTCATCTCCAAATTTCTTTCTTACTATATGGAGTATCACATACAGTTGTTTAAAATTTAGGCAAACATAAAAGTATAAATTTTAAAAAAATATTTGAAAAATATTCAAAATGATAAGTGATATACGAATAATAGTTATAAATAAAGTTTTGAAAATAAATATAAAAGGGGATACAATGAAATTACGATAATCACATTTATGCAGAGTTATTTTAGAATAATTTAAATTTAAACAGAGAAAATTTAAGGTATTGTTTTTGTGTAAGAACAAAATAATATGATATTCGAAATTCTTTACGATGTCCTCTTTTCCTTGATTCTACTTTTTTAGTGTATGTGTTATTCTTAACTTCATGTTCTGTTAGTTTTTCTTTTATTAAATCCGAAACCATACATGAAATAGAAATAATGTATTATGTTTTATTTTGGAAGTGTTTATCGTCATCGTACCGTCGTGTGTGTATATGTTATCAACTCTATCTATTTAAATTTTGCAAAGTTTCTTTAAGTTATTAGTTTGATTAAAAAAAATATGTATTTTACGTAAAATTTATTTAAATAGAAGTACTAATATAGATATAAGAATAATAGTAATAAACATTTTTATTATCTTATTTTGACACTTCTAATCAATGCTATCTAAGAATGAATATTTTACTCTAAGCATATAAAGAGAATTTAACCAAAAAGACTAGGTTATTTAGATGAGAAACTCTCATAAATTAAGTGTCATACTGCACATTCTTATCTTAAACTCATGACATTACTGAATTAAGTATGGTGGAAAATGAATGTTTAAGTTTACTTCATTTATTTAAATGAATTTAAGCTTGACTTGATTAAAATATTTTAAACTTCCACTTTATTTATTAGCTTGTTTATAATTTATTTATTCATTTTTTACTAATTTTTTAAACAAATTCTTTCATTAATTTATATTCAATGAATGTTTTTATGCTAAAGAGTAAAATAAAGTAATAATAAAATATAATTTTATATATGTGAATATGATTAGCTTAATTATGTTTTTGGTCCCTATAAATATAGGCATTTTTTTTATTAGTCGCTATAAATATTTTTGTTAGGAAGTGGTCCTTCTAAAATAGGTAAATTAGGAATTGGTCCCTGCCGATAACCCTCCTTCTGTTAAGTGATGAGCTGGCTGAAAGAGTCCTAGTCAGTTGCCTACATGGTTTCATACTTGCTTAAGTGGTTTGCTGAGGTGGGTCACTTTCAGAAATGAAAAACCCCAAATAAAATAAGGGCAGAAACGTTAAGAAGGTAACTTTCACTTGTGGGATTTAATTCAACGAAAGTCATTTGTTGTGCTAGTTGGCATTTGCGTCTCAATCTGAAGGTTGTATAGGAGCTGCGAAGCTTGTGCCTAAAAGGGAGAGTATGTGGAACGTGGGTTAAGGCTAGATTTAATAGAAAGGGACACTACGTGTGAAGAAAGTAACTTTCACGCGTGGGGTCTGATTCAACGAGAAGCATTGGTTGTGCTAGCTGGCATTTGCATCTCAATCTGAAGGTCATGCAGAAGCTGTGAAGGTTATGCTAAAAAGGGAGAGTGTGTGGAACATGGAGTAAGGTAACGTGTCAGTGAAACCCTATTTTATTATTTTCGTCTTAAACGTGTTGGTGGTGGGGTAGTTATGTAACGAGGTTTCCTTTAATTTATCTCTGTTAAATGTAATTTGTTAAATTTCTTAATGTAACACTTTAAATTTAATTTCAAAATAATAAATTTCACAAAGTGGGAATAATAAAATTTTTATTTTAAATACTTTCCCAACGCAAAGTTTCCCAAAGTTTTTCAAAATAATAAGGGTTTACAAATTTTGATCAAGTAACTAATATAGGACTAATCTAAATACATCATATGTTCAAAATAAAATCTAAGCCCTATAGCAGTATCATCCATTCCTTCACTGAACCCGGTGCTGATCGTCTTAGTCACCTAAAAAACAAATATAAGGATGTGTACTCTACACTATCTAACACACGCAAACATAGAGACTCACCTCACACACTCCACATAAATTCTAACATATTTTACACAAGTATAATCAATCACAAAAACACTTTCTATGCATTCCATTTCAGCTCACAACTGGTGCACACATTACACCAACAACATTTTACACATACGTGCGCTCACTACACCTAGTCACGCTCACTGTGGCACTGTGATCATAATTTCACACTATAGATGGTCGTCGGTTACCCCCGCCTCATGGATACAACGTGTGCGGTCACGAGTCGCTCGGCAAAGGTGTTGGTCAAAGGTATAGTCAGGAGGAGAATATGCGGCCTGTGGTGTACCTACGCTCGCTGTCGGTGTCACCACTACCCTCTCTTCTCCCAATCTTCCACACCTCCAATGTATCGCTGAACCATTCATAGCATATTCATAACCGCAGCCACATACAGTATTAATATTCGCACACGGCACACAGGCTCACATTATTTCACAGCACACCTTCATTGTAACACCTTAAATTTAACTTCAATTAAATAATAATTTCGCAAATCGGATAACCAAATTTTCATAAAAGATTTTGAAATAAGTGAAGGGTTACAAGTTAATATCAAATAACTGCTACAAGACTAGTTTAATTACAACGTTTTCAAAATAAATTCTAAGTCCTATAGCAGTCCATCCATCCCTTCACTGAGCTTGATGCTGATCGTCTTGGTTACCTAAAAAATGAATGTAAGGGTGAGTACTCTACACTACCCAAAAACACACAATAGACGTAAAGTCTTACCTCCAGAACATTCCAATACATTACACAAACACAATCACCAGCAGCATTTCACATCCACAAGTATAATTCATAATATATGCACGTCAATCACATTCACTGCAACACTGTGATCACAGATTTACACCATGAATGGTCACCGGTTACCCCCGCCTCATGAATACCACGTGAGCAGTCACGGGTCGCTCAACAAAGGTAATGGTCAGAGGTCTAGTCAGGAAGAGAGTGTGTGGTCCGTGGTGCACCCGTTTCACAGTCAGTATCACCACCACTTCCTCTTCCCTAAGGTATTTTTACCGTCCTCATCTCCCACCCCAGTGTATCACTGAACCATTCACAGCACATTACAACGGCGCTAACACGCCCATTCACACATATTCCATGCACGCATGCAATAATCATGTTTACACACGGCACACAGTCCACATTGCATTCAAATACACGACACTAGACCCACATTCATTTCACATTACACGGCACATAGCCAATATTCATCTATATTACACCACATTTACATACAATCTACATCCATCAAGTTTGGGTCAACACACATAATGTTCACACATCACGGCACATAACCCACATTACATTTCTCAGCAATTTTCTACCCACTAACTCAGTTACAACACAATATTAAGCAAAATATTAACAATTCATGCACAAAAGAGTAGGATAGAGTTTCCCCTTACCTCAGATTGACGTCTCACACGTTAAATCCACCAAGAAGCGCTTCTCCTCACGGATTTCGTCCTAAACACATGGAGAAACTCCATGAGAACTCATGGAACCCACGAAAACAGAGAAAGGGGATGAAAAATCGAAACCCTAACCATTAAAACTCACCTCCAAGCGTTTTTCACACGGATTTAACCTTCAATCAAGCTCCCGAACGACTTTGGAGGCAATTAATCGGTGAAATAAGGCTTTGGGGAATAAGAGGATCGAAGGGAGAGGGAGAAATAACTATCCCCGAATCCTAACCCCCTTTAAATCCTTTTCTGGTTGTGACACTCTCGCTACAGTGAGCTCGCTACAGTGACACACCCTTTCGCTACAGCAAAAAAACCAGAGAAAATTGCACTCTAGTTTCTGCAGAATCTCGCTACAGCGAGGCCCTCTCGCTATAGCGAGACTGCACGCAGAAATGCACCCAAACTGTTGCTCTGTTGCTATAGCGAGACGTCTCTCGCTACAGCGAAAAGGCGACAGTTCTAGTCTTTCCTCCTAGGGCCCTCTTGGTACATCGAGAATCCTCTCGCTGCAGCGAGAACAGCCTAGTATCTCGCCCTGTACTTAGGCACTTTGCCCATTTCAGCCCAACAACTCACACACACACACACACACACACACACACATATATATATATATATATATATATATATATACAC